GAACCCAAATGATGGCATTTTAATTTTAGGCATTTCAAACCCACCCTTTGGACCCTTTATATCAATTCCTGGACCTTCAATATCAACATCTGGACCTTTTATGTCTGCTTTAAGTTCAGATGCAGATAAATCCACATCTCCCTTTATCTTTGGACCTTTAAAGTCAACGTCAGGCATGGAAAGTGTGGGCATGGATGGCATATTGAATTTTGGTCCTTTGATTTTTCCACTTGAACTTTCAATGTCAATTTGCGGCCCCTTTATATCGTCTTTGGGAACATTTATATCCATATTGGCTTTAGGGAGGCTCACATCTACATCTGGGCCTTCGACCTTGGGACCTTTGAACCCAAACGATGGCATTTTAATTTTAGGCATTTCAAACCCGCCCTTTGGACCCTCTATATCAATTCCTGGACCTTCAATGTCAACATCTGGAACTTTTATATCTGCTTTAAGTTCAGATGTAGAGACATCCACATCTCCCTTTATCTTTGGACCTTTAAAGTCAACGTCAGGCATGGAAAGTGTGGGCATGGATGGCATACTGAATTTTGGTCCTTTGATTTTTCCACTTGAACTTTCAATGTCTAGTTTGGGCCCCTTTAAATCGACTTTGGGTAAATTTACATCAATGTCAGGCTTAGGGAGACTTAAATCAACATCTGGGCCTTCGACCTTTGGACCTTTTAGCCCAAACGATGGCATTTTAATTTTAGGCATTTCAAACCCACTCTTTCGACCCTTTAGATCAACTTCTGGACCTTCAATGTCAACATCTGGACCTTTTATGTCTGCTTTAAGTTCAGGTGAAGAGAAATCCACATCTCCCTTCATCTTTGGACCTTTAAAGTCAACGTCAGGCATGGAAACTGTGGGCATGGATGGCATATTGAATTTTTGTCCTTTGATATTTCCACTTGAACTTTCAATGTCAATTTGCGGCCCCTTTATTTCGACTTTGGAAACATTTATATCCATATTGGCCTTAGGGAGGCTCGCATCTACATCTGGTCCTTCGACCTTGGGACCTTTGAACCCAAATGATGGCATTTTCATTTTTGGCATTTTTAGCTTTCCTTTAGTGCCTTCTATATCAATTTCAGGGGCATTGATGTCAACATTTGGCCCTTTTATGTCTACGTCAAGTTCAGGTGCAGACAAATCCACATTTCCCTTTATCTTTGGAGCTTTCAAATCAATATCAGGCATGGACATTTTGGGCCCTGAAATGGTGGGCATGTTGAACTTTGGTCCTTTGATTTTTCCACTTGAACTTTCAATGTCAAGTTTGGGCCCTTTTATATCGACTTTGGGAACAGTGACATCAAGGTCAGCTTTAGGGAGGCTCACATCTACATCTGGGCCTTCAACCTGTGAACCTTTGAACCCAAATGATGGCATTTTAATTTTAGGCATTTCAAACCCACCCTTTGGACCCTTTACATCAATGCCTGGACCTTCGATATCAACATCTGGACCTTTTATATCTGCTTTAAGTTCAGGTGCAGAGAAGTCCACATCTCCCTTTATCTTTGGAGCTTTAAAATCAATGTCAGGCATGGAAAGTGTGGGCCCTGAAATGGTTGGCATCTTTAATTTTGGTCCTTTGATATTTCCACTTTTACTTTCGATGTCAAGTTCAGGACCTTTTATGTCAATGTCACCTTTAGGGACATTAATATCCAATTCTGGGCTTTCGACTTTAGGGCTTGTGATTCCAAATGATTGCGTTTTTAATTTTGACATTTTTACCTTTCCTTTAGTACCTTCTATGTCAATTTCAGGGGCATTGATGTCAACATCTGGAACTTTTATGTTTGCCTCTACTTTTGGTACAGAGAAATCAACATCTCCCTTCACATCAATTTCAAGATCTTCACATTTTTGACCCTTCATATCACCCTCAAATTTAGGTGCAGAGAAATCCATATCTCCCTGGATCTTTGGTCCCTTAACTTTGAGGTCAACATCGGGCATGGAGAGTTTAGGTCCAGACATAGATGGAAAGCCAAATGTTGGTCCTTTAAGTTTTACACTTGGACTTTCAATGTCATATACAGTGTCTTTTTTCTCAAGATTGGGTACATTGACATCTATGTCAGCTTTCGGGAGCCTCACATTTACATCTGAGCCTTCAATCTTTTGATCTTTGAACCCAAATGTGGGCATTTTAATTTTAGGTATTCCAAACCCACTGATTGAACCTTCAGCATCAATATTAGGCACTTCAATGTCAACATCTGAAACTTTTATGTCTCTTTCAACTTTTGATGAAGACAAACCCGCATCTCCCTTTATTTTTGGGCCCTGAAGATTGAAGTCAACATCGCGCAGTTTGGATCTAGACAAAGAAGCAACATCTGAAACCCTCTTGTCTCCATCAACTTTCTTTGCAGATAAATCCAGATCACCCTTAGGCTTTGGACCTTTAAGATCAACAGCAATGCCAGGCATAGAAAGTGTTGGCCCAGAATTGAATGCCATTTTTCCACTTGGACTTTTAATGTCAAGTTTGGGGCCCTTTATTTCAACTTTTGGTGCATTTACATCTCCCTTCAACTTTCGATCCTTTAGATCTAAATCATCAATGGGGATGGAAATGTTGGGCCCAGATATTATAGAGGTTTTACTATCTATATTTGGAGCTTTCATGTCAATATTGTCTTTAGGATTTGATAAAGAAAACATAGGCATGTTGACTTTTGGCATTTTAAATCCTGCCTCTGTTCCTTCAATGGTAATATCTGGGAAATCATTATTTTCATCTTCTATTTTTGAAACAGATTTGCCAACATCTCTTTTTAACTTTGGATCTTCAAGATTTTTGTCCAAACTTGGTAATTTTTGGACCTCTACGGAAGACACGGTACATTTAGGCCCTTTGAGTTTTCCTTCTGGCCCTTCTAAGTTAACACCAAGACTAATATCAGCTTTAGGTCCTTTCACCTCAAAAGTAGCTTTTGGAAGACTGAAATCTGCTTCTGAACCCTCTTTTGTTGCAGCTTGTTTGTCAACACAAGGAAGATTGACATCACGTTTTGGTCCTTTGAAATCAATTTGTTTTAGAACACTCTGATCAATATCTGACCCTTCCAGTTTTGGAGCTTTCATTCCAATGGAAGGCATAATTACTCCTGACATTTTTAATCCTGCTGTTCCACTGTCAATGTTGGCATTTGCTCCTTTAAGATCAACTTCTGGGGATTTGATTTGACTTTTATCTTGAAACGTTGAAGGATGAACAGATGGTTCTGTCATGTCATTATGATGAGTTTTCAGATCAGAATCCAACCCTAAATCCCTAACTCCATCATTTCGTTGTTCGCTCCTAAGGTTGATATCTGTATTTGACATAGTAAGGCGCAACCCCTTAGTTGACGGACTGTCTGCATCCAAAGTAGTTTCTTTCATAATTGGGGTTTCGATTGCTATCGAGGGAATGTTTACCCTTGATATTTTGAATCCAGATGTTTTATCAGTTAAATGGACATCACCATCTCCTTGATTATGTTTTGAGCTAAATGATGGCAAATGGAATTCTTGCTCTCTATCACTTTTAGATTTGTTAATTTCATTATCAGGTAATCTAACACCAATTATATTGACATTGTCTTTTGATGTATGTGTTATTGTATTTCCAGACACATTTGTGCTTGTCTTTTCACCTGTGTCAGATTCAGAATATAGTTTATTTGTTTTAATAATTTCTTGTGTTGATATTTTCATTGCCCCTGGGACAGACATACTGGACCCTCCATTTTCTTCAACTGAAATTACATTTTCACTTCTCAATCGTTCTATTGTGACAATCCTACTACCAGTGTTTTTACTATCACTCACTTTTGCTTTCTGTATGCTTAAGTCCCCATCCTCTTGATTTTCACTGTCACTGTTCACTTTCTGTTTACATAAAGGCACTGAAAAACCAATGCTTTTACTTCCCTGTAAGTCTCCCCCCCTGTCAATACCTTTGGTATTAAAACCCCCACTTTCCCACCTTGTATCAACTGAACTAGTATGTGGACTTGTGGAAGAAACCTTGTTTAGTTCAAAAACACCCTCTACTGCTTTACCTTCATGACTGCCTTGTGTAATTTGGACCGAAGTGTTCTCTGAATCCTGCCGTAGCCCTTTGAGGTCAGGGCTTGAAAGTTCTTGTTGCTCACTTAAACCGTGAGGAAAATCCACAGTGTACGTAGTAATGCGTCGGGTGATGGTTGTAATAGTGCTTCCATCGCTGCTTGTGCTGCTATGCCTTTCCGTCCGTACATCCACCCCGTCAGCTAAATCTTCAGACTTCAGTCTCGGCTTAATTTTTTTTGTATATATTCTTTTATAGTCTTCATCATCGCCACTCTGTAGGGAAAATAAATATATATAATTCTTAGATCTACACATATCAAGGAAATATTTATTGTAATACATACAAGGAGAATGTCCGGACTGGTAGCTCCAAATCGGGGACTCCCCTCCCAAGTTAAAGTACCCATTGGTGAACGACATGGTGTACTCAGTGGTGAGCAAAAAGGAGATTTGTCCTTGTTTTGTAATTTCAGACCAACTTTATGTCGGCTCAATGTTTTCAGTAAGTCTGCTGTCTCCTCTGAAGTCATACTCTCAAAGTAGATAGTGGCACCAACAACCTGATCCCCTATAAATACAAATAAGACAAATTGGCAAAAGCTGGGATACTTATATATTGAAACGCTATATTATCATATTTTACCTTCATAAACTTTTCCCGATCGTCCTGCTGGTGATTCTCCTTTGACTTCCTTGACAAAAAGCTCACCATCCGTTGTTTGTTCAAGGGTCAGGCCAGTTTTATCAGGGCCTTCCCAGTCAGGGAACAACACCTCTCTGGTTTCTTCTTCTTCTGCCATCTGCACATATTTTATTATAATACATTCAACTTGATTAAATGTTAAATTATTTGCAAGAAACAAAAAAGAAAATCACCCTTTCTTTTATTTCTTATTCTTCAGTGTACTTGAAAGTCAGCCTTGGTTTTTCTAAAAGGTAGAAAATACATTGATAAAATGCATTTGTTTTTAAGAAGTTGTATGTGTGTGTGTGTGTGTGTGTGTGTTTAGCCAAAATGCTTGTCTTGGAGGTGGATCACCATTGGAGCGATCAGAAATGTGTGTTGGTTCCAACTTCAGCTCGTTTGTGCAGAGGTAACAGAGGTAACAGTTGTATGTTAATGTCCCCCATGTATTTTGTTGCTTGAAAGTTTCTGGTTTACTCCAAGCGCTTAATAAACTATGTCACTCAAATGGCCGAGGAACTCCTTGGCTTTCCCCAAATGAGCTGAAGAGTGCTTGAATAGGGGAATCTGCGCATCTCTGCTTAGACTGGGTTAGGCAACCTCGAATTTACCGCAATCTCATAGAAGGGATAAAAACAAAACAAAAGAACCAGACATTTAATGTCTAAATGAATGTCAACTTCTATTTGTAATCTGTGGATTAGAAAATAATGTAAGCTTTAATTCTACTCTAATACAAAACACTTAAGAACGCTTTAGCGTTTCATGAGTTACAGGCATCATGATTATGTTCAAATCACACCACAGCCTACTAACATTTGAGCTCCAAACGTTCTTTACAGTAAACAATGAAAGCAGCAGAAGGATTCTTCACTATAAATTGCCCTTTGGGAGAAACTTGGAGAAAATTGGACACTGTACTGCAGAAGTGTTCAACTATATCTCAACTTAAGTCTAAATATATACAAACAATGATCATACAATTAAACGTGAAAATAAAAATAGAGCTCTCTTGTATTTTGGAAATGTGTGATGTTGTTTGTTTATTGTGATGTGAATGGGGTAGGGGATTAAATAAGACTTTCTTATGTGAATGTTAATGTACATCATACAAGAGCAAAGTAAATTACAGTAAATTCTCACTGGTCATAAACCACAACAATATCAACAACTTATAACTGTTTTAAACATACCTTGGATTGCTCAAGCAGTGCCAAGGCCTTCACTTGGAGAGTTCTGTCTTTGGTTAATGACCTCTACAAAAGAAAACAAAACAGACATGAAGCAAGAATTGAATTTACTGATTTGTTACACTTATCTGTTACACAAGCATTTGTACCATATTATGTAAAACAAAGAAATACCACACATTTTCAGTTCTCACAATAATCAGGGTTGCACTGCCATCTACTGATGGCAGTGGAAAAGAATGACAAGCGATAATAGCCTCTTTGCTGGCATGCTGACATTAAAACACTTGATACTTGATGTCAGCAATTCTCAGGAAATGTTGGATTATGACTAAAGCAAAATATTTTGATAAGAAATATATATTATAACAAGGTTTAACGTCAATGAATAAAAAAAGTTAAAGACAGTAATACAACATCAAGCTTGCACCTAATTAGGCCGCTTCAGACATGCTCATAGGTGAGCAAAACTACCACCTCGGGCACTGACTTGTGCAAGGGCGCAAAACAGTAACTGAATAAAATAAAATGTTTCAATAGACACATGGCGCAAGGAGCTTGAGGCCTTTTGTGGGGATCTTGACATACAAGGTTTTATATGACCAGGTGAAAAACACAGTATAACCCTTAACTATACAATAAGTATTAATGAAAAATAAGAAATACATCTTCAAAAAATTTTTATCAATATGCATTTTTGGTGCTATCAAAAAAGACCATTTTGATAATTATTATTACTAATATTACATGAAAAGTGTAGGCTGTTGAAGATGATGGAACAAACTTTTGTGTGAATGATAAGTTACTCATGTGTGCCTACAGGTGCACAGTTAGGTATGAATATCTAACCCATTCATATATTTTGACTTTTAATGTATTTGTGAATCAATAATATGGGCAACTTCTAAATGTGTAATTTCATATCGAGAAGTTAGGCTGAATACTTTTAGGAGTATTGATTATCTATCACTATTATTGATTTGGAAATGTTATCTTGTCATGCATAAATACATAAACCCTCTACATAGACATTCATACACTAGTGTATGAATATTACTAAATGTTTTAAATAGTTTTGAACTGTAAATGCAAAGGCAATGCAATGACATGTGAGGACAATGCTGGAACTTTGAGGTGATTTAAGTAATGTTAGCTCATTTACAGTGATCCTCGTTTTACATATTCCGAGAAATGTTAAATTAACATAAAATTGATTTTATGACTGACACAATATCTCCCTTTTGCTCCCTGTGCAGATGACCTCCAGCTGTATTTTTATGAATGAAAATGAAATGTGTTGCACTAAAACTTCCAAGTTTTAAGTACAGTGTTCTTTGTGGATTTATTTGAAAGAGGAAATAGGTGCTAGCTGGCACATTGACAAATGGAAGAAGCATGTTTCTGTATAGATTTGAATGAAATGCACATCTAAATGATGTTTCTATTTAAAGCTTTCAGAGTGATGACAAATTATCATTTAAAAGATGCTTTTAAATGATAATTTGTTTAAATGAAAATGGTTACAAGTCTGGTGTCTGATCCGGTTAAATGTTTTTATCCATCTCAAAAAGCATGGAGCTCATCCAATCACATGTTCTTCAGAGATGGTCCCTGGTTTAATCCTACCATAATCCCTCCAAATTTAGAAACACATAAACCAAGATTCTATTGTCATCATTACTTAATTACTTAATAGGCAAGCCTGGCATAAAAGGCCCCCATGGCTTTGTGCAGAAACTACAGTTTTCTGGCTTGTCAGTCTATGAATAACTGGCTTAAATCCAATCCTGTCTGTCATATTCCTCAACTTCAGAATCAGGCTGCATTCAGCTACAAGTGTCTTCTTTGGGAAGAGAAGGGAACCTGAGAACAATTTGACTATGACGAGTTGTAATGAGCATCGCCTGTGACTGTTTACTACTGTATAGGAAAAGGTAAACTTGTCAACTTCTCTCTCATGAATACTTATGATACTAAAGCGTCATATTTTATGACACTATGAATACATAGGTATCATTTGTTGTAGTTTAAAACACAAAAAATCTTTGGGAGCTAAAAGCTGTGTGGACCTCATTAATGTTTTAATATTGGGCTGAGCTCTGTTTTGTTTCTTATGTGTGTGTCGTATGAGCAACTTTTGTAAATCTTGTCCCTGCTACTACTGTATATAAAGCTAAATATAGAGCCACTGTATCCTCTTGTTGTCCAACACTTGTATTGTCTGTGTGTGATATTCAAAACATGATGGTTTGATGATTAGAAACATTTAAGTGTGAATACCAAATATTGGATTATATCGGGAAGATGGTAAACACTTTCAGCACTGTATACATGTATATTTACACTGTATAAATCTCATTTACATAGATTTAATATTCCGATATATTGAAAACTATATTAGCAGGAGGGGTGATATAGACCAAACCTATGATATTAAGATTAGGATTAAGAGATCCTTTATTCATTCTACAGTGGGGAAATTTCAGATCAGATATGAATAACTAGCTCCGGCTAATTTTGGTGGGCAAGCGTAATATAGGAGATTCAGAGTCAAGATTATGTCAACCCTTCTCCAATATTCAACATGGGCCTCCCCTAAAACCTGTAGAAATTAATAAATATTTGATATTTCATCAGATGGTAGCATATGAAGAATTACAGCTATGTAGAAGTCTTGGTGTTGTGTCACCAATGATTTTTTTTCTTTTCATGATTGTACCAGTTCATCTGGCCACACCTAAGTTTTTTCGTCTCGTTTTGATTCTCAGCCTTATGATGGCTTGCCTCCTCTATTAGTGACAGGTCTTTGAATCTATTTTTTTTACAACTGATTCCAAATGCAAGAAACACATCAACACAAATCAACTCTATTCCATTTATCTGCTTATAGTACAAGGGATAATGCATAACACACATCTAGCCATGGAACAGCTGAACAGCCCAATTCATATGAGCCCTCCAAAAGTGAGACACACTCATAAAAACTGTAATAATTACGTTCCATTACATTTTTATTCAAATTTGGATGTACAGTAAATGTCCTAAAATGAAAGGGGACAGTTAATGTTAAAGCATATCTTTGTTTAATTTCATGCGTGTATGAAATACACTGAATATTTATTCATTTTACTGTGGAGTTTTAAGCTGTGTCATGTTTGTCTGTTCCAGTTTTCTTTGGGAGAATTGGGGGATATGGCTCTTTTGATAATGCCGTATACTTTTTACGGCCAAACATGTTCAAATGTATACATTGCAGAATAACATGGACTCCACAGTTGAACATGGAAGCACATGCCATGGCGTAGAAATACCTAAACACTATATGAGGCCATCGCATCTCTGGTCTCTGCTTTGCTTGCATAGGGAGTAGCACAACACAAGCCCCACCCAGGCCTCTAGTCACACACATTCCTTGACCGAGACTTGAGGCCAGCTGGAATGGTGCCCAACCTCTCCCCACAGGGAGTAACTCCAAAGTTGTTCTCTTTCTCTGTCTCTTGTTCTGATAAAATAAACAGGAACCTCACAACCATACATGCATATATCCAATTTGAGTTTTCATTTCTCTATCATTGTGATAGTCAGGTGAAGGCCTCCACTCACACTGTCAAGAATGTTGAAACAACATGCATTATTTAAGGAGATATTTCAATAAGTTAAAAACTTTCACTTTTTAATTTGTTTTGTACCAAATGCACCTGGACATAAGATCTTACTTAGTTTTGATATACTAGTACATCTCAGCAATATTCGTCAGTCATTTCAGAAAGAGAAACGGATTATCGGCACCAAGGGAGAAATATGTCAAGGCTTTAAATAAGATAACTGTATTTTGAGTATTGCTTCTCACTTTCATTCCCTCACTTCCTGGTTTTTATCATCTGTAAACCATAATAATCAAAATTTGAAGAAATAATCATAAGATTGGATGAATAACCACACAAGTTGGTGGAATGCTCATAGTTCAACTGTGCAACGCTCACTTTGAGGTTTCCTGGAAATGTAAGGTGCAATATACATAAAATGTATTAATATTACATACAAAAATGAATGTACATAAACCACATGGACATTCACATCAGGGATTGATTGAGGAACCGACTAGCAGTCGTTTTTGGAGGCAAACTGATTTGCAAGAAATTGACCTGTAGCTCCTCCTGGAGGGCATGAATGGGAATAGATGATGGGCTGGGTGTGTGTGGTCTGAGGTGATTCTGCGTGCACGCTGTGCGATTTGTCTATTGTAGAGTGTGTCTTTTTTTGCTTTTTGTAAATCTCTCATATTGTTAGGTAACAACTAAGATACATTTCTCTGTTTATCTTAGTTGTTACAGAGACGAAACAATAAGCAACTTTGAAAAGAAATCCTACGTCCCATTCCAGATGATGGATTGTAGAGTGCTCTGTGAGATGTTCAAGCTCAGGAAATGTTTGTATAACCTTACCAAGCTCTAGTTCCTTGAACTTTAATGATGCAGTTTAGCAACCAAAATGTTCTCAACATACCTCTGAAGCCATCAGAAAAGCATCTGTAATCATATTAACATTAGATTACAATCTGACAATCTAACTCAACATTCTATCATTCAGCATTACTACACAACTTCTGAAGGAAATTGGTTGCACTGAATTCATGCCACACTTATATAAATTATATAAAATTGTGCGCGATTTTGCGTTCACTTCACGATTGTCTGCCACTTTGTGTTGGGCTTTCCCAAAACATAAAATCTGAATTTTTTATGTTTGAGGTCATAACGAGGCAATATGTGGAAAAGACCAGACGTCCTAATTTTCTCAAACATCTACTTATTTTGGGGTCTAAAAAACACACAGGACAAATGTCTAAATCCAATGTAAATGGTTGGGATTCCTACCCTTCTTCACTTGTGCATGTTTGATGGTATGGTAGCTCCTCATTTATCACAGTGTGTCAATAAAAGAATCATTTCATTACTGACCATGCCCCTCTTCCACGGGCGCCTTACAACATAAGCTAACACCAAGCTAGTACTGAGTGAACCTTAAACATTCTCAAACAAAAATGCAAATTTACGGACTATCTATTGGTCTAGTGTATACCATTCTAGCTTTATATGCATATAATTTTAGCAAAGGGTTTGCTTTTAGCTTTTCTTAAAAGTGAAAGCTCCTCGGCTCAACTAACACACTTTTTTTGCCAACACAACATCTTCACAACACAGATCTCAACAGAGGCCTGGATTGCACCTCTAGCTTTTCCTCTGAACCTGCCAGAAGTGCCTGGACTCAAGCCACTATTAATGACGCAATAGCAGCTCGTTTCTGTCAAGCTTGCAATGGATGCAAGATACACAATGGTATGCAGTTTACAGTGGGAGACAAAAAGCAGTTTATGGTACATTTTGGTACATTTTGTGCTTACTGGCAGTGTCGCTGGCTGTTACTGTCACTATTACAGTTGTGTACAGTTGCTCTCATTAGCATCAGATGTTAATTTTCAGTTTATCAAGGACTCGCTTCAAAATAAAAATCTGACGACAGACCGATCAGGGAAAAATAAACTTTGTGCGTATTGGCTTTGAGCTTTTGTGCTTTCAATGAGTCATAGAAACAAGAAATAGGTTGAAACAAAAACAATTGTCATCTAAATTTGGCTTTTGTCCATAGATCACATTGGGTAAAGGTTGGTTTATGGTTTTAAGAGTATTTGCTGGTAAATAATCAAAACTGCCAATGAAACAAACTAAAGAAAGCTGAATGTATTTCTTAATTTATATTCTAAGTGTCACTGCTCTGACATTTTGAGCAGCTCATTCTAAAGACCTTTGTGACAGATGCTGCATTCCATGCCTTATTCCTGGCAACCCCACGGAATGTGTGTAGGTTAAAGTGTGAGAAGTGTCCCATGAATGAAAGTTATTGCATTAAAATGTAGTGAGTCAAAGTAGAAATGTTTTAATATTATGTGCTTTTTAGACAAATCAATTCAAATTTAGTCATAGCAAACCTAAAATATAGGTATCTGCACAGCAATGAAAGCTCTGTTGTTATTGCACATGCAATATGTCACATGCAGACATAAGTATTCATAAGACATGACAGAGGAAATGCTTACGAATTTCAATGCTATATTGGAAAGTGTGCGGGTGTGTGGAATTTCCTCAAAAGACTAAACAAACTTTGAAGCTTTTAAAAGTTTGACCTTAGATAACCACATGGCACACAAAAACATAAATATACACACACACACACACAACTTTGCCTGAAATGGCCTTTTCTTTGAAATCCTCCACAAACCAGGAAATGGACAAGGAAGTGTGCAGTAGACAATTATGGCACATGCCAGTATGCTGCCAGCCAAAAGGCAAATTTCAGTTTCGGACAAATATATTAACATAACACAATTGATTGATTGTTAAGTTTAATTCTATTAAACTACCAAACATTTAAACTCATTTATGGGTAAATAAGCCATTTGAGCCTAAACCTTGTGTAACCATCTGGTTCTTCAAGTAACCTCTGTCTCAATCAATCACCTCAACAGGAGTAAAATATGTAAGACATTTACAGCTGCATGCCACTTAACTCAGCGAAAAGGAGGCCAAAAAATGAGAGACACATTTTTTGGGTGTGGCAAGGAGAAGCCTGTTATGAACTTTCAAATAACACATGACTTTTGAGCTACAGAGATAAGTAGTTGCTCTCAAAAACACTCCAAACTTCACATTATGAGGTTCAAATAATTTCTCATTTTCTTCTTCCCCCTAAAATGCCATGTGGACTCGCTGTGTATATGCTATGGCTCTGCCCTGGTTTCAATTAGCTTGTCTTTCCAAACCACTACATTCCAGTGCTCCCCTCCTCATCCACCCTTCCCCCTTCTATTGCACATTTTTCCTCTCACTGTTATAGCCACCAATCTCTCACTCCTCCGCTCTCCCAAAACACACAAGACTTATACAAAGTTTAGGAAAGATCATATGTAAAATATGCATAGGTTGTGCTAAAAAACAATATGATATGAATTAAAATAGTATTCAAAATACAAGCCCACTTCAGGATGAAAATCAATAACCAATGAAGATATTTGAAACATGGGTTCGCTTTGACTATTTGGTAAAGACTCTCATCCAAAGTCATTCTTTTTCAATTCCTACTTGGTAACAAAGGGTGTGCCTCCGTAAGGAGACAGCAAAGCAAAATGGGAGGGAGCAGAGAAAGAAGGGGGTGGAAGGCGTTGAACAAGAAGAATCCACACCCAGGCTTGTTGCTGCAGGCACAGTAATGAAATTTCTACTTTTCTAAGCTTGCAGCTCATGAAACTTCTGTTAAACACATAATAAATCAAGATAGTATCAGATATAAAAGAATTAGCTCATAAAACCCCAGCCTGCAAGTTATCAAACAAGCACTGTCAATTTGGTATTACTAAGATTCAAATACAAAAGAATCTGTAACTCATGTGTACACAACTACAGACTTTTTTATTGTCACTATTATAGCTACAATATTACGACAAAACTAGAATAACTACTTTTTCAATTATTGATACCCTTGCCTTTGAACAAAAGTAAACTGCGCAACAGTCTTTTCATGTGATGACGAGAACACACCCACCTTTCATCCTAGGCTAAATATTAATTTGATTATAATAAATTGCAGTCACATTATATAACTGACCTGATGTGGTATAGAATATCAAAGCACTACTAAAAACATAATCCACTCTTTTGATTTTTTTTTTAAAGTTAATAATATTACTATGATAGACTACTATAGATATACACTATTTGTTGTTTGTAAAAGTAGACGGAATACAGTAAAACAAGTACATAAAGTTTAAAAAGTAAAGTTTTAGAAAGTTTTAAAAAGTAATTGTTTTACCTGTGTGCAGCAGCGGCACCTCGGAGCCCTACTTCTGCTTGAGCATCCTTGAAAACCTCTTTCCTTCCACCCGCTCTGTCTAAAAGACTGGTCAACCGTGCAGTCTGCTTTGCTTTTCTCAAGCCTTCCTACTTCTCTATCAAAATTTCCAGGGCGTTTTCACCACCTCCTTCCCCTCCGCCTCCTGGACTCCCTCCCCTCTGTTGATTTTTGCCTGTTGGTTTTTTCAGTGTGCTGTGTCGCTGCTGCTTTGGGTTGAGTGGTTGGACAGGGATATGGGCATGGCACCTGGTTTTCAGCAGGGAGGGGAGGTGACCGGTGCGAGGGAGTGTTCAGCTGCTGCACTGGGACCACCCACTGCTTCACATGTAGGGCTTCACTTAAGGATGTTTGGGAAGTTACTGAGAAGTTAACAAAATGGATGTTAACAATGGCTTATTTTTGACAAATAAATCAATAATTATAACTGCAATTTTGTTAAAGCTGGATGGAGTGCCTAACTTTCAAACCACAAAAAAAACTGTTATAAAACCCACTTTTCACATGCATGTATTTCTGGCCTTGGTCACATAACTAGATCAGCTAGTTTTCTGAAAAAGAGAGAAATAGCCTTTGCTCAGCTAAAAAAAAATACAATGTTTTCTCATAAGATGAAACCAGCATGTTGTGGTATTATTTGTTCCCAAAATGTGACTCTTTCTCTTGGGACAAACAGAAATGTATGAAACAAAAGTTGAGGTACTCCAGCCCTACAGTTTGAACCTAATATCAGATCTCTTCCTTATTGTATATTTATGCTGTAACTAGGGATTGTCAAAATACAGTGCTCTAGTTCGGCTTTGAATCTCTGGCCTTTGCCTGCACATGCTTCCACTGATGCGTCAGTTAGTGCTAAGCAAACAACCTCATAGCACACTCATATCAAAGCAATTATTTACGAACATATAGCTAAGCAGTCCACATTAATAATTGTGCATGTTTGACTTATTTGAGCCAGAAAGATTAAGCGCTCTTACTCCCTTGAGCCAACATATAATTTCAAACATACAAATCTCATGTTATAGCATATTGTTTCCATGAATGAAATGACTGAGGTGACATTGCGAGAAAAGAAAGTAAAGTTCATAGTCTTGTTTCTCTTGTTTGTTCTTTGTTCGCATGTTTGTGGCGGCCACACAAAAAACATTTTGATCCTAGGCCGCGGTGCCTCCTGACAAATAATCCTGTGATGGTGTGTAAACAGCACGACACCTGTAATACCTGTCTGCCGCTGAGAACTTTCTGCAGGGTATTTTCAGTAGCGTATTGCCATATAACAAGAACTGAGAAAACAATGGCACTTTCACATGCAGGCAAAATAAAGACTGCTTCTGTTAAATGTGTTCAATCATTGTAATTTATGTGTGGAATTATTATTTTCTTTTGACAATTACATGAATATTAGTATGTCACATGCATCTATATTGTGGAGTATCAATAATGTTAGGAGTAGATATTACGGTTAAGATAATGATAGTAATACAGTAAAGTGGAGGGTTTAGTGGTGTATGCAGACTGTGGCTTTGGAACAACTTTGAAGTAGAGGTAATTTAACTACTACTACAAAGAAAGAGTTTGAATGTTAGAAATGTATATATGCATGTATTGAAAATAAGATTCAATATTATCACATTTGCTTTTATGTTCTCAGTACACACTCATATCAAAGCGCTAAAAGATGACGATACATTTCATGAATCCCCGTTGGTCAATTTGTCCAATGCATTTGACCCACACTGCACCACTCTAAGGCCTATGTTAGGATGTTGATGCACAACCAGGACTGCTGGAGTTGGGGGATTTTCCCTATGGTGATTGCTACTGGTTGGTGGTTAAAACTGGAGTGCCTGGAGGAACACCTCTCAGACACAGGGAGAAACATGCAAACTCCATACAGAAAGACTAAACAACACAAAAGCTCATTTAGGTATACTCCTCATTTTCGTTTGTTTTATTTGCTGGGACTGTTCCCGTTTCAACAAAGTTCACTGATCTTCTGGCTAAGACATAGCTGACATGGAAACCTGCAGGATTTGATGCTAACACTTTCAGTTTTGAAAAGTGTATTTACTATAGTTTATAATTACTTCCTGGTTGGGCATGGGCTCCATATATTAGAGGAAGTGATAGTTACCAAAGCAGCCATCATATAAACAAGGACCAGTTACTCAACAGTTATGGCATGATGATTACATTATTTATTTCAAACTTGCACAACACATCACCAACATAACAGCTAAATTCACAAGAACATGCTTCGAAAAGCGGATGGATGAAGCAAATGCATTTGTTATTCCTGATAAATCCATTTCTAAACAGATAATTGTTTTTTTCTTTTTAGTTAATTCTCTTAAACTGCCAAGTAGACTACTATATGCATTTTTTCCAATGGATTTTGCCATGGTCAAGTCATAAATAGAGGGGGGAAAGCAACATGCAGAGAATCAGAGCACAAGCTGTCTGTATCTAATTAGAAAACATGTCAAGATTGTAAAGTAGCCCAAATAGTAATTATATAATCTAATAATTAATATATATCTAATATTATGCACCAATACCGATACTGGTATCGGGTATTGGGTCGATACCATAGGCTTGTACTTGTACTCAAACCATAGGACCTGATGCCAGGAACCAATACCCACTTTCTTAATTTACATTAGCTTCACGACAGCAGACAGCTATGCTGCCATGACAATCACCAAAAGTCAGCAGCAAGCAGCTTAGCTTAGTTTTTTGTTTTTTTTTACGTAAACGAGGCCAAAACAAACACATATAACACCAGCAACTTGATCAAACATCTGAAAACTCATCACCACAAGGATTTTAGCACCGGAGCACAAGAACAACCAACTCTGCAAAAAAGCATAAAGCGTGGAATATCACGGTGGCTTTTATCGTTGACTTTTAAAACAATTGCTAAAGGTTTAATTGTTAAAGCATTTTCTTATTGTTGAAATGAGAAATAAAACGTTTTGAAATTCAGTTGTATTCGTTTTATGAATTCCCAGAGATGCAGTACTCGTATCGGTACTCGGAATCGCCAAGTACTCAAATTAAGGTACTCATATCGGTTTTGAAAAAAGTAGTATCGATGCATCCCTACATAATATGTAGTTTTAAGGCTTTGGGGTGTCTCCATCATAGTATTTAGACACTGGCGAGGGTCTATATTCGATAATACTAAATTGAGCACTGTTTTTGTATTACGAATTAAAAATGTGGTAGGTTATGTTATTATGATGAGAAACCTATTATGGGTTATTTTTACTGATAATATTTCTATTAGCTCAATGTCATAATATTGAGAGAGGTAATTATTCTGAATTATTACAGTTACTTTATGCAAGGTGAGAAGTTTAATTTCAGACAATGGGGATTTTTTTTTCTTTTTGCACTACATATGTAAACTTTGGGTGTCCAGTGTAAAACAATAATTAAATACAGACGCTGAAGAGTTGTTATAATCCTAGTTACTATGCTAGATACATTCCGTAAGATGCAGGTCTGGGCACAGGCGCAGAAAAGACGTTGTGCAAGCAGCTGTGTGCTAAGGACAAAAGCTGGGAAAATTGTGTTGCAAATGTGCCTGACATGGAGCTGAGGAAGCTCACTGTAGGCGAATACAAAGAAATGTGGGAATGGGTGTGGCGGCTGCTCATAGGTGTGTCAACCCGCGCGAACCAGCGCAAATAGCTTGGCTCAGACATACAATGACTCACCAATGATAGCTTCAACAAAAACAGGGCCGCTTTGACTACAGAGGACACAAAAATTGATGTCGTAGTTAGATTAAACTTGTACTTTTGAGCTATTCTCTGAGTCTTTAAAATAAAAAAAAACTAACAAAAAGTTGTGAGATATACAAAAATTGTAGTTTGCGTTTGAAGGGAAAAGGTTATTCCTATAAAACTAGCCTTAATGAACAGTTGTGTCCTTATACATCATAGACTAAGAAAGAAAAATCTTTGTTAAATATTTGCAAAGAAAGTTGTACTTTTGAAATAAAAGTTGGTTTTGAATAATGTTGAGTTGAGTTTGGCAGAGCCTGTTGACAGTGAGTCATCGCAAGAAGTTTCTAGATTATGAAAACGAATGCAAAAACTACAATTTACTAAGAACAATGCCTGTAATTGTACAGAAAAAGTTTTGTGTAAACACTAAACTCTTGCCTTCTGTTCTTAGTTCCTGGTCAAACTACTCCAGCTTTAGAAGCAGTTAACTTGACTCAAATTGCAGGCACTCACAATAACACAAACCAGACTGTGTGCAAATAGATGGTCTTTGTTAGCCTTCTTCATTAGATCTTTTTGGACAATGCTACATTGTTGATACTGACAAATGCTTAAGCAGTGAAGAGAAGGTAGAAAAAGCCCCTTGTGTCCACATGTAAAAAAAAACATTTTGTCTGCTTGTTCTACTTTTAAACATTCCTAATATGTATAATTGAAGGTTTTTGCCTATGCTTGAATTTACAAGTGAGAATGGTATAGATTTATAGTATAGTTGATTTATTATTTTAACTTAGTAGTTATTTCAAGTGCCTACATAATGTTGAAAGTATAATGCTTTAAAGACAAGCCAAGACTTGACAGAGAGACCTCAAATGTCCCAACACCAGGTCAGCGCATGATCTTTTGGATCACCATAGCAACTCATCATTATCTATGTGGAATTCCCCAAAGCACACGCAGATGATTCAGACAGGCAAACCGCTCTTTTGGTGCAGTGAAGAATGCAAGGGAAAAAGGGGAATGAGAGACAGATTGAATTGTGGTTTCCACTGCAAGTTGTGAGTCACGAACACGAGGGAGGAACACAGAAGGGGGAAAGGCGACTATTCTGGGATGGCTGCTATAGCAACATAATAAGCAAGGGGCAGGTACTATGAGGATGTTTCCATGACAATGGACAGTGTATATGAACAAATATCACATGTGACACAACAGTTTAAATTACAACAAAAAGTTATGCACCGCAAAATATTTTTTATAGACAAAAGGGCACAGGCTTTGTGACATCCAGCTAGACTTACTTCCTCATCAAACCAACCCAACTACCTTCAGGTCCAGTCTTGTCATACCATAACAAAGATGGCCAAGATTAGGCCGTTCAAGAAGCTTTCTTTAGTAATAATATTCACAGGCCACATTAAACAGCAACGTTTGGACCTACTAATAAAGTACTGCACTGATTCTTTGGTGATTTTGCAACAGATTTTATGTTGCAATTTCACCACCAACTTTGCTTCAACACAAGCTGATACCTTTCTGGGCAGCACATTCCAACCATAACTGTAAACATTCCAATTCTCAAAGTCTTGACGTGGATGAACTGTAATAACCAGCAAGCCAATACTTGAAGAATCAATCGTCTCATTCTCAGACAGGGCTGCAGCTGAGGCTGTAAACCTCAAATCCTTTAATCAAGCCTCTTCTTGATGGCAAACAACAAACAAAACAAGGAGACATGAGGTTAGTAAAACCTGTTTGCCTGTATCAGAAATATTCTGAATGTATTTGTTAACCGCGGTTTGACAATTGAAGGGGTTTCACATGTTCAAACTATAAACAAAGTTTTAAGTGTTTTATGTGCTGTACACAATACAAAAAAACACTAATTTACTTTTTTCTAGTGGGTCATTGGTTAAAGTAAAAAGAAAACAAAACAAGGCAGAATCATCTCGTCTTTACAACACATGCAGCTATACAACTATGTGCAACACTTCACTCTTGTTTAACAATATCTCCAGCAGCTGCCACACCTCCAGAGTCTTGTAATACGAGCCAGATGCAACACTGGGGTTTCATGTCCAAAAGAGCAGGGGCTGTCTGTTTTCCCTCTGCTGTACCTCATTTCTCCTCCCTAAAGACAAGAACTTATTCCTGCCTAACTGGCAACTTTAAACTTTAAATCTGCAGGGCAACACCCATGAAGACGTCACAAAGTCTAAACAAAAGTTGGCGTTTGTAAACTCACCATGTGGATACGCCTGCCTAACTCCTTCACAATATCATCTTGTCTTTGCTTCTATTTTCCCTCAGCTCACTCACCTTTGACCTGGCTCATTCCATTCCAGCACTGATTTATGATGCTGCATTCAAGTGCCACAGGGAAATGTCAAAATGTGATACAAATGCTTTAATACAACTGAACCATTTTTGTGATTTACTGAATCATCCATAATAAATACGGACATTTGCCTGGTCAGATTAAATGCTTAATTCCATGTGGCAATTGTTTGCTGAGTTCGAATTGGAAACAAATGGGTAATTTTCCCCCTGTTCAAATGTATGTTCAAATGTAGGATGCATGCGCATCTATGTAAACCTCTCACTGGACGCTGTGTGGTCATTGTGTCTGGGATGTCCCGAACACTACACAAGATGTTGAACCTGGATTATTTTACTAATCCAGGATTCCAGGATTAGCTCACTGATAATTATTACAAAGAATAATTATTATCATTAGGAGTCATTTAGTGCATTTCACTTTACAATTGCATTTATTAATTGGTAATGCCATACAAAATAGGAATGATATACTTACTGTAGCCACAGCTGCAATGGTGTAGAATGATGGAAGTATTTCATCGGCCCATCCGACTCATCTACACACCAGCTTTATATGGTGTGTTCCAATTGAAGCAGGAACACACTTATAAAATATTAACCCGTGAAATAAAAAAGTGAATTTTCAAGTTTTGTGTCCAAGATATAAAATACAACATGGGGACATAACAAATCCAATAAGGCAACGTTCTGTATCTAGAGAATGCAGAGAAAATATGTGAAATCTTAGGTCGCACTCCACTGGCTGTATCTAACAGCAGTTCAGCCTCTGTGCATTTGCTGTTATTCTATTCATGCATAATTGTGCTCATGTGCTGCCCCATAAGGATATGAGCAATAGACGGATGTGAAAGTGCATTTGTTTATGTTTTAGCAGCCATTTATGACAGAAAGCAACAGCTAGTGCAAAAATATCTTCTACTTGAGTTTAACTAAGGTTGTTAGTACCTGATCTATTCTATTCTTTATCAACCTAATTCTTAAAGTAATTAGATCACTTTGTATTTTAGCATGGTAACCGTTGCTAACTAGCTTAGCCCATTTTTCTGCTGTTTCATGGTCATTGTCAGTTTATTTAAGCAGTGATTGTTGTCAGCCAACTAATTTAAGGCCTTGAGTACATTTTTTTGGGCTCTTTATTTCTTAAATGAGGAGTCTTATTTTGCTTTCTGTGTTAGTTATACCGTCCAATTTAGGGCTGCGATCATGTTGGACTATTATAATTAATCATCGCTATCGTTAACGTTGATGCGTCCCCGAAATCCTTTTTGGAGAAAGGCACAGATAAAGTCCAACAAAGTGATAACAAACAAACACTCACCAGCCCGGGCGTCCTGCGTCATGTCCGCGGCTGTGCTTTCTACTCTGGGCTGAGGACAAATAGGGAAACTGAAGTTTGGTCCTGGTTCTGTCCTCCGCAGCTGGTTTTGGCCCGCATGCTCTTCGTGCGCGCAGACCGGTCGTGGAGCTAATCTTCACCCCCAAAGCGCTGATGCAGTGCGGGGCCGCGGTTCAACAGAGTGGGTCGGTGGTTCCCCGTAGGCCGCTCCGGTGTCCGCGTGGTCCGTGCTACAGCACCACACCAACATTGCACTTCCACACGAGTTTCATTGTAATAAAGCATAATACAGTCTATGATTTATACAGGCAGCCTCGAGTGCGCGTTCTTGACGTAATAGCACCGCACACACGCTCGCCAAATACCAAATCCTCCATGAAATCAACCTCATACAATTATAGTTATTATAGTTTATGTGTATTTACACAAGCTAATTTTTAACCTTAATTTAAAACTCAAATTTAAGGTGGCAAATTAAGATCTAATTCTCTATACTTTATCATGGGCATAGGAGGATCTTTGATTTATGACATGTGACTGGGTGGCAAAACAGCAGCGAACGCTACCTGGATGCTAGAGAGTTAGTTAGATTTAGACGTTTGGAGAGGGGTTTTACTTAATCAAATGGTCCACTCTTGTTATGTGGTTGGTTGTACGGCCCGCTGGGGCCAGATAAAGGTTCAAATTCCTTTGGAAAAGAACAGCAAAAAAATGTTGTGCCCGAAAGTAAAATGTTGTGAACAAATCTAATAGATATAATGATAGCCATTGGCTGACATTATTCAGACCTTTTTGAAATGTCCCATTCTCATCCCTGTAACAAACAATAGTTTTGGCACTGTGGCCACCTCCCTTACTCTGAGTAGTGACATGTTTATTACTCTCCTGTAATGTAGACCATTGCTCTTTATTTTCCTTGTTGAAACTGCATACATCCTCTACAGTATATGTGCTTCCACATACCGTATAAATAATTGTAAAAAAAACGTTTTTTAGTCGCAGTCAAGCCCTGCGTAGCAGCATGATATACTGTATCAAGTACAGATTGATCCCAATTGGTCTTTGGAGTCTTTGATTTTGAGCTATGATATTATTCGTAATATTACATGTAGATAAGTGGTGATTTTTGCTCTTTCTTTTTATACATCCCCCTTGATTCTGTTTGTCCGAGTGAGTGATACTAAATGTAGACTGTGTTATTAGGCCCTTTTTCGCAACTGCAAATGGCCTCACTGCCTTCATAGACTACAAAACCCAAGTGTATCATGGAAAATGGCGTGCAGTGAACATGTGCCTGCTGATGACTGACTGGACATCTGATTGGATCTTGTCTATTTTGATGAGAAACGTGAAGCTCACACTTTCAGCAGCTTCAGAATCGCCTGCATCAATACATCAGCAATTCACTTTTATAAATGATCACAGGGTTGTAATGACCAGAGCCCAGTGCATTGTACAGTACAGACAACATGATTAATATGAATTGTGGCAATGAGAAGATGCTCAATTATACAAGAATGAAGTCAGGCTTATAGATTTATTGTGAGCTCCTAATTCACTGCGTCTGCAAATGTCTGTCAGTGTGAGGTGTGCAAAAGCAACATGAAAGCGTTTTAAACATTTTATTTAGTAGTATTTACTGCAACCTGCTTCTCTCTGCTGCTGCTGTCCTCCGCTAAAAAAATAGGCCATATAGAATTAAAGATCCAATGTCATACATTGTACATTGTATGTCCAAAGGAGACACCCCCAAAATGTATTGAGGGACTACTGATGAAAAATACCCTTCTTGACCAATTCTAACACAATTTCAAAAATGTATACTCCCTGTCAAATGAATCAAAACATTAAGTAAATAGATGGATACATAGATAGATAGATAGATTATTAGCAATAATGAAATGCAACAGCACTTCAGGTCACAGCCGCAGAGGTGGTGGAGCCGCTTGGTTCAAACCATTTTCTCTGTTCTAGTCCAAAGTGAGATGCTGAATGCTTTGTTGGCATTTTTCAAAAAGTTAGCATTCCTCCAGTGGATAATATGTGCATCTATAAAACAGTAAGAAAACGAATATTTGCTGGGTCAATATTTCCATTTATCAGGGCACAATTTGTCGGTTCTTAGAGGTCCAGAGCTGAACAAGAGAAAAAATAATGAAGAGTGTAACGTCATATGTAGTGACAAAAAAATTGAGAAATAAACAAATGTCAAGGAGTTGAACAACAACAAAAATGTGTTTCAAGGCCTAACTTGCTGTCTCCTGCTGACCAACCAGGTGCATGCAAGCCATCATCTATCAAATGACCATAAAGAAAACATATAAATAACTTGGAATACTTGTTGAGTTTTTCTCTGGTCTTCGAGGCTGGTGAATGAGGCCTGCTGCTGAGGCTGATTTGGTGTTGGTTTGGTGTAAATTCAGGTTTACTTTGAGGGAACTAAGGGTTTCCCTCATCTGAAGAGTTTAGCGTCAGTTCAGAGTAAGTCAATGTGGTAACAGACTCCACACAACAGCTCTGCTCTGGACCAGGGTCAGGTCAGGTCTAGAACTTAGACCTGGTTCAGACCACAGGACTAGGGTATGTTCTGGTTTAGAGTTAGGAACACAGCAATAAATCCTACCTTTTGGACAGCACTTTCAAAGATTCAAAATATTTGACACATTTGTAAAAATATGTGAAATGTGCACCATGTTTATTTTCAACATAAAATTTTATATTGTGCACTCGTATAAAACTCAACATTTATGTTTAATCTCATGTTGTTTGACTCACCTTTTTGATATATTTAATCTGATCTGAAATAATTACAACCCTGAGCCCTGTCTGAACTGTGCTGATAGTTGCTTCATCAGTTTGACTCAGAGCGAGCGAAGAACATTGATATTCAGCTTTAAGTAACACATAAACCAAACTTACTGAAGTTAGAATAAATTTGGATTTAGTCATTCCACTACCAGATTCCATCATCGGGTTTCTGGAATGCAGAGGCCAAAATGCTGCAAAGTAAAATCAGCCTCGCCCACAGGCCGCCTACCCATGGAAGTACTAAGGGTATGATGTTTCTTTTTTGGCTTTATAATGTGACATGAGCCAAAGCCTTGCATTGTTCTATATTTATTTATATAATTTTGATGTATTCTTTTTTAGAATAGAATATCTCTATTATTGGATTCAAAAGGATCCAATTATTGTATTTAGACCATCAACTTAAACAAACACAACTTTGCAATATGGTGCCTCAATCTAAACACATTTAAAGTCACATACAGTACAGACCAAAAGTTTGGACACACTTTCTAATTTAATGAGTTTCCTTTCTTCTCATGACTATTGACTGTAGATCCACACCAGGCTGTGTAAGGGCTGTTTGACCAATAAGGAGAGTGGTGGGGTGCTGGGCCAGATGACCCGGCCTCCAGTCACCGGACCTGAACCCAATCCGGATGGTTTTGGGGTGAGCTGGACCACAGAGTGAAGGCGAAAGGGCCAACAAGTGCTAAGCATCTCTGGGAACTCCTTCAAGACTGTTGGAAGACTATTTCAGGTCACTACCGCTTGAAGCTCATCAAGAGAATGCCAAGAGTGTGCAAAGCAGTAATCAGAGCAAAAGGTGCTACTTTGAAGAACCGAGACTATAAGACATATTTTCAGTTGTTTCATACTTTTTGTTTGTAGTACGTACATTAGTTAATTCATAGTTTTGAAGCCTTCATTGTGAATCTAAAATGTTCATAATCATATGAAAAACTCTTTGAATGAGACGGTGTGTCCAAACTTTTGGTCTGTACTGTAAACCTATACTTGAGGAAATGTTTTTCATCGAGGCAGGGAAACATTCTTGTCTGGTTCACACTTCGCAGGCAACACACGATTAGTTCACTGATACCCTTTTTTATTTTTTTTAAAGAAAAACTTTGTCACCATTTGTTGTGTTAAACTGACATCTTGATGTAAATTTGCATCAATGTGAGATAGTATATCTGCCCCATGCCCTGGTGATCCAAGATGGCACCCTATTTAAATGAATGGTTTGTGCTCAGTAGCACATGGGACTTCACGCGGACCGGGAGATTAGCAGAACTCGCCTATTGACCAGATGCATCAACGTCATCCAGTCACGTGATTGTGAATGAGCTTAGGGCGGAAGTATTGGAAACTAGCATTGCTGCGAGAGCAAAACGGACTACAACTCTTAAAAACGGAGCTTCCTCTCCTAAATCGAGAAGTGGCTGCTTCAAGCACATGTTCGATTACGTTATAGGTGGAAGTAGGACATCAGGTCAGGGCTCACAAAGAGTGGTATTTGGAGAAGGATTGCCCAACTGGATGTTGACCCGTACCTTCTCCCCCCAGTCAATTTTATCAATTAAATAAAATGTCTATTTTTGCCCTAATTCACCCTACATGATCTTTATCATGATCGTTAACAATGCATCCCCTCACACTGGAGCAGATTTATATGAACATTTTGCTGGTAGCTTTAGCAATAGTCCACCTTTCTGTGGCTTTTCTGTCTACAGCCAAACATGATACGTACTGACGGAGAGGATAATAGTGAAACACGCAATTGACTTAAAAGATAAAAATGTTGCAGCGCACATACAGGACAGTAGTAAGAGACACGTTTGACGTGTGTCATTGTCCTCCAAATAAATGGAAATAAAATAAATACAAACTTGTGATTGCTTTATTTTGTAAAAAGTGTTCACTGCATATTAGGGAGTACTTGGATGGGTCCCAGTCATCTTCTGTCTTCATGACGAGCAGGTATCAGATAAAAATGCTTATGTCCGTGCCTGTTAGTATAATCAACCGCACTGCAAAATGTCACAGTTTTGGCTGTAATGCGCTGAAACAGGTTGTTTTGGTCTTCTGCCGTCTGTCATGGAGAGTGGGCGTGGCCGGGACGTCACATGCAAGGGCATCGTCTGGTTCTGCGCAGTGGACGAGCTCCCATGATGCGTTGCGCCAAATAGGCGTGTGTGGCTTTCATGCACGCGCACAGAGGGGCTGGCTCCACTCTGACCAATCAGAGCTGCTGATCAGAGCAGTGGTAGAGTGGAGTCAGAGCGGGAAGGAAAGGAGCAGAGGTTGAAAACCGAAGGATTTAAGAAGAAAAAAAGTTCATGATGACAAGGGACACTAAAATCCCCACAAAATCCGACCTTTATGAAAGCTGTAGGTTCTCTGTCCGCTAAGGTCGAGCTGTTTTAGTTCACATTAAGTTCTATGGGACTTTTTTCTGGGTAGCCCACGTGAATTTAGTCTGCAGTACCACGGGCGCCTCCTGTGCCCATGGGTGGGACAGCTATAAGTTATTAATACCCTATCCAGTTATTATTATAGATCAAGCCCCGGCGATCCAAGATGGCGCCCTATTCAAATGAATGGTTGTGCTCAGTGGCGCTTTGTGACGGCATGGGGGCTGAAAGATTAGCGGAAGTTGCCTGAAACTCGCAAAGATCTATGGGAAACTCGCCTGTATTTGGGCATCGTCTGGTCCTCCCGGTTCTGCGCAGTGGATGATCTCCCATAATGCGTTGCGCCAAACACGCGTGTGTGGGTCTCACACCGGGTCTCACGCACGTGCACAGAGGGGCTCGGCCGCGCTCTGACCAATCAGAGCAGTTTATCAGAGCGGGAGTTAGAGCGAGAGCCAGAGGAGCAGAGTTTGTGGCACTAAAGTGTGGATTTAAACAAAACCGAAGGATTTAAGAAGAAAAAAAGTTCAGGATGACAAGGGACACTAAAATCCCCACAAAATCCGATCTTTATTAAAGCTGTAGGTTCTCTGTCCGCTAAGGTCGAGCTGTTTTAGTTCACATGTAAGTTCTATGGGACTTTTTTCTGGGTAGCCCACGTGAATTTAGTCTGGTTCAGTCTGCAGTACCGCGAGAATCCCCTGAGCACGTGAGTTATTCAGCTACAAGCTAGTAATACCCTATCCAGTTAATATAATAGATCCATGTTATAGATCCATGATCTGCCCCCATCAATAGTACCAGTTGAAGGGCATGTCATTTTATAATTTGATTCTTCTAGATGCCTGTATATGTATGTTATTTGTTACTTTTTGGTGGCAGAGTGGCTGAGCGGGAAACATTCACAGCAAGAAGTTCTGGGTGGGTTTCCTCCAGACGCCACTGTTTTAAGGGAAGGATGTTGAATATCATATGGTTTCTTTCAATGTGTATGAACATTCAGATAGTGAGATAGTGTACCCCTACTTGTCATCTACATTATTCCACAAAATACAATCATGGATTTATATATATATATATATATATATATATATATATACACACAGTATATACACACACAAAGGAGAACCACAATGTTATATATAAGCCCTTGTAGGTATAAGTTATGGAAATCATGTCTTTTAGTTCAGGGCTCCCTCCACAGGCCAACTTTGACTCAAGACTGAGTTCTTGCACCAGATGCTCAGCACATGTAAACCAAGCCTAAAGCTCATCGGGGGGCTGACAACCTCACAAGGTCAGTCCTGGGGAGAGTACAATATGGCTTCTCTGTTCTTCCCTCACTTCACAGAAAAAACTTGTATATACACACTCAACACATGAACATTGAGCAAGGAGTGGCAAGTAGGAAGGAAAAAGACTAGAGAGGCAAAGGGAGCAGTAAAACTCAGGGGAAGAACAGTAACTTGGCAGAGCTTGAGAAATGTTGCTGTTGGCATAAGCCTTTGTATTGTTGCAAGCCCAACTTTTTAACTCTGAAGTTAGATTTGCATATAAAAACATGTGCTTCCAGAGTTAAAAAAAAAATAAACAAAATTGAGTATGGCATTTTAACCACAACAATTGTTTCTTACTGGACAACAGAAAAGGCAACAGTTGCTCTTGCCTCTACAGGCCTAAGGTTACCCTGTGTTGAAACTAGAGCATACAGGGTGAAGCTTTACTCAAGTTACAATCCTTCAGCGTGAGCCACAGGATGGGTGAGTCATGTGTTCAACAACTTGGGCGTTTCACTGTTGTGGGAACATTTCCATTTTCTGATTTCCATGAGACTACAGAGCTCTCCAAAATGGCCTCCGATTCAGACTGAAAGGTGGTTGCACAAACATGACCCTGTAATACCCTGGTTGAGACAAGCCCTGTTCCACAAAAAGGGCATGTATTACAGTTTATCAATATCCAGTTTATCAATGCAAGCTTAAGATATTTGGCCTCTAAATTTAGGCCAAATTATGCTAAGGGAAAAGTGGTTTTGTGCAACACTTTTGAAATTTCTGAAGTGACGCACTAATAAATTGCTTGGATGGAGCTTTAACCTTGAAACAAGGTTTGCCAACGGTTTAAAGTCAAGAACTGCTTTTTCTCATGAGACATTTTGAATCTTAAAGAATTTTGCTTGTCTCATTGGTAAATCTTGTTTCAAGGCAGTCATGTGCTCAAATTTAAATACATTTTGCAAGTTTGAGTACATTGACTTAAGTTTGGCAATGTGAACAACAGAATTGTTCCACCCAATTAAGTTTTACTCAGACAAAAATCAAAAGTATGAGAGATTCCAGATTTAACAACTCGTCATGTACTGGATTTGCCAAGTAGCAGTAATAATGCAAAATCTCCATGAAGATACTTGTGTTCATGTATTTAACAGAGGTGTGGACTCGAGTCATGTGACTTGGACTCGAGTCATGATTTTGATGACTTTAGACTCGACTTGACCAAATATAAAAAGACTTGCAACTCGACTTGGACTTTAACATCAATGACTCTGACTTTCACTTGGACTTGCGCCAATTGACTTGTAAAGACTTGTAACCCGGGCCATTTTTACCTTTCTCCGCATCTCTCTTTCTATCTATGCCGTCTCTGAAGAAACAAATCCTCGCGGTAGTTGTAGCGCTCGCGAGAGAGTTCGAACGTGAGTTCCCCGCAGTTCGCGCAGCAACACTTCCCTAAACAAGCGCACTGCATTCACCGGTGGGTGTGTTGTCGTAGGGGAGCTGGAAATGAGCGAGTTGCAGGTATTTATCGCGACCTAACGTCATATTTTGTTCTACAAACCGTAATTGATATGCTTTCACTACAGGCGCCTCATACAATTGAATTGACGCAGTTGTCACACTGTGTGCCGTGTTTTAAAGAGGAACTGGTGAGTCAAACTAGCGCTAGCCTGCGCTGCTCTGTTGGCTCTTTCTTATATTTTTCTGTGTGGGCGCCGAGGCCTATTATTATGAGTATGTTTTTTCTGTGCTCCTCCTGCTAAAGTTTGCATACATTAGATAGTTGTTTTGATTGTGTGCACTAAGCTAGATTAATATTTGCACTATTGTTTATGGTGCATTGATATGAGAATCAGTGCTTTGACTGATTGAATTAATTTATATGAGACATTTTATTATGTAATGATATATTGGTAATTATGAGATATTACTAATACTGGTCCAGTTCATACAGGCCAGGTTCCTTCCCCTCCATTGGTCATTGGTCCCTTCAGTCCTTTGCCTGCCCCCCCCCCCGAGCTGGCGAGCTGCCCCAGGTCCAAAGCCTAGACCCCTCATACTACCCCTATCCTACAGTAGGACATTTGGAACAACCACTACGGACATTAAACTGATTATATAGATACAGGTCCAAGCCCAATACTCATATTCATATATGCTGCACTTGCTACTTCCCATTAAAAACCCCAAAGATAAAAAGTATGTTGACACGGACTGCTCTGATTTTATGTGTGGTCTGTGCATGTGTAACTGAGCCTGCATCTGGCACAACATGCAATTAGATCACGTAGATAGTTTTGATTTATCAGCAGCCAACGACATGGAACAAACTGTTAGTCCATGGGTCAGAGACCAACGAGAATGCACCAGCAAAATGATTCCTAACATTATTTTGTTTGCCTACAAAAGTACGTGGAGACCAACAAGAAATAAATCGCGGTCAAAAAGACTCGAGAGGACTCGAAAGTCAAACCATAGGACTTGAGATTTGTTGGCCTTTGACTTGGACTCGACTCGGGACTTGCCTGTCTTGACTCGTGACTTGACTCGGGACTTGAGGGCAATGAATTGAGACTGACTTGTGACTTGCTAAACAATGACTTTGTCCCACCTCTGGTATTTAACAAAAAAAAAGGAACCAGCTCAAACATTTTAGTAGTTTATTTTTTAAAAGAGGGAAAGTAAAGAATAGATAAATAATACAATCCTCCTTATATGGCATTGTGGAAAAATCTTTATTTTCACAGCAAAACCAAAGGATTGGGCCACAAGGACGAATCCTCAACATTTCTCAATCCAAGTAATCTTGTGTTCAAGCGCATAGTCTGAGTCTGTAAGTATCAAGAGCAATTTGCAGCGTTCCCGAATGCTCACTTGAAGATCTTGCCATCACAGAAAGGTTTCCCCATATGTTTGAAATCTCCCTCCCAGAGAAAGTACTCCTTCACCATCAGCTTGCACTCGTCACTCGCAGGGTCCAGTTTGCGCCAATTGTAAGATTCATAGTCTATTCCCCAGTCAGGCGACAACTGAAAAGACAGATTTCAAACAGGATTAATCATACAGTTGCACAGCTATTTTGCAGGCTTTTCAATAATCCTCTTTTTATTATGCTCTTTTCATACAGAAAACCCAACACAAAGTATCCCATATGCCTACCCGTCAACCCCACCGCGTGCTACCTTCAGGGCAATAAGACCCACCAGTGAATAAAAGCCACTTCTAGAACCTAAATTAGGACCCAATTTAGTTTTTTTTTTTATATCCTTGGTGTGTAATTTTGCCGAGGGTAAAATTGTGACCACAGCATGAACCAACCTATGCTCACTTATCAGAGATGACTGGGATGAATGTGGTCTGAATGTTCTTCCCTGGTCAGATTAAGACTTAGTGCCATTTTTGGACACTGCCTTGCCCAATGACCAGGGGAATAATTTGAAAACCTGACACTCAAAATTATGGTTGGCAAATGTGGTTAAACACGGTCAGTTTGAGTGTTGGCCCAGATAGAGTTGAACCTTTGCAAATTGGTGAACTGATTTATTGGTCAGCAACATGTAGGACGACTACTGACGTGAGTAGTGAAGCACCTTGTCGTCTAAAGACTTTTCTTGCTGTAGGTTTTGAACATGCCCCAATCGTACAATTAGTCCTACAATAGTGGTTGAAGCAAAATGTTAAGCTGCGGTCACACAGTTGACACATCAATACATGCACGCTCCATTTACTTTGCATGTTAATGCACGGTCCAGTGTGAATGAAGTCAGACCTGAATATCTCAGGTCTGTTTTTTTTTATAGTACTGCAATTTGATTTCATTGCACCAAATCGTAATAGGAATTATGACACTTAATAGCATTTACTTCAATTCCAAAGGTGGAGGAAAAAAGCAGGGTGACTAGATTTAAAATACCAAATTAAAACAAGGACATTAAAGTCTTCACTTTTTACAGAATATCCAACATTTTTCCCTATTCCAATTCTTTAAGAAAATTATCCTACCAGAATTGTCACACAAACGCAGTATCTTTATGAAGTCGAGAGTCATAAAAGCTATGCCACTCCTTACCTCAAAAGCCAAGTTTTGGCCTCTCCAGATCCAAAGTCCAGAGATTGCATGGTTATTGGCGGTACCAAACAGGAGCATACTGGCAAAGGCATTCTTTCTCAATTTATCCAGACGCTGAAGCATACCTGAAAAATATGTATGCAAATTAATACCATGATGTGCAACAAACATGGTCGCACTTCGCAAGTAGTACTCTGGCATACCAACATTTCAAACTACAAAAAAGGAACCACGTAATAAAATCCAACCAACGAGTGCCTTGCTTTTACGGCCAGTCAGTTTAGAAGTCGTCTTCTAAACATTCTCACTCAAACTGCCTGATAAAGTTTCATTTTTATATCTCAATGTAATTTGGGAACCTGGAAACTTTGGAAAAAATAAATCTGAGAATCCTGAATGTGGCCACAGCATGAACCAGCAGAGCTCACTGAGCAGAGAAGACTGGGATGAATGTGGCCTCAAGGTTGATTTACCCCTTTCAAATTTAAGACAATGTCAGTAGTAGACATCACCTTGCCAAATGACAGGGGGGGTATTAGTTTTCCGTGATAAACATTTTAGAAGCAAAGGGTTTAGGTAACTGAATAACTGCTAGTTAGGGCTGGGCGATATGGCAAAAATGTAAAATCTCGATTTTATTTCTTGCTTTGGACGATTGATTTTTCATTAAAGTCACTGAAGACAGACTTTACCCTTAAAAATATTTTCTGATCTTTCTGCTCAATATTCAAGTTTCAGACCAATTTTTAATTCGTTTCCATAATATGTATTATAAAAGTCTTGTACAGACTGCTGATATTGCGAGTATAATTTGTGTGCAGCTGGAATTGTCAGACTACCTGAGGGCTATGCCTACAATAGATCACTATTGTCATAGTTAATGAAAAGCCATAGCTCCTCCCTCCTGATCCCAGAACATAAAAGTTCTTTAAATCATGCTTTTTATAAATACATTTTATAGTCGAAATGAGATTGTGAATAGATAACACTTCTAATTAAGCCAAAGCAAGTGTTTCTGCATAATATACAGAATCTAACCCTAGGTGGTGCTGTATCCAAATAATGAGAAAACTTTTCAGTAGCATTCTACTTACCTCCAATGAGGTTGCAGCTCATGAAGGTCAAAGTTAGATCCTGGGGGAATTTGTAATCGCAATACCAGATGGAATAGCCTTCACGATCGAAGTGGTCCCAGAAGTATGGAATAGCCACCTTCTCAATGTCTTCATTAGAGTACTTCCTTTTGAACTCATCCATAATAAATGCGCTAAAAGAAAGTAAAAAAAAAAAAAGGTAGATGCCAGGTACACAATTACTTCTGACCCACACCTTTGTGCCCACAGCATGAAGCAGCCCATGCCCACATGTTAGGGATGACTGAGATGAATATGGCCTTAGATTAGTCTTCCCCTGTCAGATTAAGACTGGTGTCACAGGACGGCACCACCTTGCCCAAAGACAGGGGGTCATTCACATGTTATAATTTAGGCATTGCCTTTTCCCCAGACTCATTTTAAGGGTTAAAGCTTCTGAATTGTTATACAGTGATCATAATAGGTTTGATCCAATCACATGCATATGAATATTCCTAAATAAGATTTGCCAGTGTAGAACAAAAATAAATTAAACACTTTGAATATTTTAAATGTGACCTATTAAAAAGCCATGTATACATCTATGGTGTAACAAGCTTGAAATAATTCACGGCTCTTGAAAACTAGCAATAAATAAAAAGCCTAAAATGTATACAAAAATTGCCACAGTACAGTCAGCTAGAATGGACGAGAATACAGTTTAACCTGCCCTGTCACTGCTTAAAGCCAATGCTTTACATCCCAAGATTAAGGAGGCTCAATAGTTAAAAGTGAAAAAGTAACCATAAAATGAGCCAGCTCATAGATTTGCATCACCAGGCTAAAGATGCTATACACCAACCCAACATGCAAACTTCCAGGGATTTCCTTCAAAGCAGTAGACTTGTTCCACTTCCAATTATTTGTTTCAAATTAAGGAAGTTTATACCTAAAAACGAATACAGAAGTACATTCTGAAAGATGTGACGTTAATATACATTTCAGTTCAGCCAAATCTCTATCAGAATGATATTTTATAATATATAACCTGCGGCCACACGACTCTCAAACCGGTTTGACATCCCAGTCAGATCTGCTTTTAATGTACTTAGAGCTGACAAAAATGATATTGGAAATGTCCCAGTTAAGCAGATGTACTGCAGTATGACTACTTTTCAAACTTACTGGATGGCCATGTTAGAATATCATTTGGCAGGTTTAGCACACTTCAAACAGCTGAAATCCTGGACTGGAAATGACAAAGCCAGTAGCCACCAAGTTTCATGCCATGGATACCTCATTCTATAAACTAATACCTTTTGGGCATTTCAGCAAAGGGGTCCTTTGACTTCGGCTCTGCAGCCAATGCTGCATCTGCTGCATCCATGTCGTCGTCTTCTTCTGGGGCAGGTTTCTTTTCTTCCTTCTTTTCCTTTTTCTCTTTTTTTTCCTGGGGCTTGGCTTCCTTACCACCTTTTTCTTTTTTTGCAGGAGTTTCTTTCTTTGGCTGCATCTCTGCAAACTTCTTGGCTGAAATGAGGAAAAGAACATACATCTTTTGGGCATCCGTTCAGACATTGTACCATTTAGATCAGGGGTGTGCAAAACTTTAGTAAGAGGGCCACTTTGTTCACCAAAAATGTCCAAGGGCTGACAACATGGGTTAACTGGATTAAGGCTTTTGAGCTTTAAGATTTGGTGTGAAATGTTATGGTTTCATCTTTGATAGAGGTGAAGTTGGCTGAATGACACTGAACTTGTCTTTCTGATCTAAAACTACCCTTTTGGGTTAGCAAAGTAGAGTGCCGTATAAAATTAGTGGGCCGGAATTGGCCCCCCGAGCCTTAGTTTGGAAATGCCTGATTTAGATTAATTCAAAACTAATGTCAATTTTAAGCATGCATATTGATTTGTACATTTACATCATTCAAAAATTACTCACCATCAAACTGGGCCATCTTTTCACACAGTTTAACATCTCCAAGCACAGCCTTGAATTGAGGCTGGTTAATGCAAGTGGTGAACCAGCGGTTAACGTTGGTGTAAGGCTGACGGAATGAAGGCTCCAGCACCTACAAGATGAAGAGCTGTACATTAAATGGTCATGTTAGGACAGCCGAGTATTAACTAATGCTAACCTGTTTGTAAAGCCAAAGCATGGAGCAGGCAACAGTGATATCTGCTAGACTTATGCGCTCTCCCACCAGGAAGGTACGAGTGTTCAGGTGCTGGTTAAGCACAGTCAGGACCCTCTTCACATCCTCCTTTGCCTGCTCTGTGGCCTAGACACAAAGCACCATATTATAAATCTTTAAAAGATACTGCTCATCTTGAATGACACATTCATGTGATTTATAACAAAGATGCAGCTCGAGTCTTGTGATACCTGTTTGTTGAATTGCATGATTCCAAGAGTGGGGAAAACCCATGCACTGGCTGGAGGTATGATCTCAGAGTCAGCAAAGCTAACCCACTGCAGCACCTGGGCTGCAGCCTGAGGGGTGGCACCACGGAGTGCATCATTGCCCACTGAAATCGGAAGATATCAGGAATGTTACTTTTTATCCTGAATTGGGGGGAAAAAAAAAGTATTTCAAATACTTACAGTAATGAGCAATGGCATTACTCTCAAACAGACAGAAGCCGTTATCTCCCTGGTAAGCAGGTACCTGGACAGAGTACTCTGGTTATACATACAAAAGCATTAAAGTGAGATTGTGCTGGCTGTATCCATTTAACCCTCAAACCTTGCCAAGGGGGAAGTTATTTAGGAAGGCAGGAGAACGGTTCGTCTGCCCAAAGGTGAAGGCAGGGGGGTTACTGGCGATCTTCAGTGAAGTGCCACTGTACTGGGCTGCTATTTGAGCCTTGAAGGCCCTCCAGTTCTCTGGATATGTGTACAGGGTCTAGAAAAGAGAACATTGGTCACGAAAATAGGAAACAGGTGTGTGAAATAGATCTTGAGCGTTACATGGTTTGTTGGGAAAGGTCCGTGCAATGGAACGAAACCATTACTGTAGTTATTGTGCTATCAAAAACCAATTCATGTGCTAGAGCTAGCTAGTCTTTCGAGCATCCGTGACAAACTCTGGAGCTGGTTTACGTCAGCTCAGCTTTATCCAGAAAAAAATGCTTAAATGTTAACCTAAATAACACGCAGTCGCCAGTGAAACGTGGCAGTGGCTGAAACAAGAGGCGAGAGATGCTTCGAATGCATCGTCTGAGAGCAACTCTTACAGACTGAAAGCATTTGAATGGATTCGTCCCAAAATAATGGGCTGAGTGTTTCCGTTTCTATCAGATACTAACAAGTAAATGTCGCCTGAAAGAATCCACTGAAGGATGGGTCAGATGAAGCGCGGATGACTTATAAACGATGGAAAATTAGCTCCTCTCCATCTTACTCACCCCTGCCGCCATCTTCAGGACGAGAAAAGAAAGAACGTCATCACGTCTCTCTGACGTATTTACGTCCGACACACGCGTCACAAAAACGTTTGGCTGTACTAAACCATTATTTTTGGTCTTTCTAAAAGAATTATGTAGTTTAAAACTCTGAGAAGGCTAAATGGCTTTAAAACAATATGGTTGAAATATCTTTTAATCCCATTGTACTTCCATAAGGTTTTTGTTCTTGTTTTGTTCTGCACTTGAATTTTGCCTTTTTTATGCTCTGTAATATATATTACAGATATGTAAGCCTGTAAGCATCATTTGTTAATTAACAAAACAAAAAAAAAGAACAAAAACGCAAAAAACACAATATTTATATAGATATTGACAATAAAATCATCCATCACATGATTTACTCTTGTTTTATTGTGTATATGGAGACATTACAGTAGTGGAAATGACCAACATAAATTGCTTTGTTGCAAAGTAATTATTGAATACACAGCTGTTACTAAAAAAAACTTTATTCACAGAAATAGATCTACAAAAAAACATCTTGTTCCAGACAATCAGCTCACAAGACCTAAGGAAAACACAAAAGTAATTAGAGGGCTTGAGTTTGGGAGCTTTAGTTGATTTATTGATCAGTAGTGTTTGCTCACCCTCCCATAAATATAGAACACTAATTTAATAATTCACAAGTGTCTCAAATACAAATAAATGCATTTATTTGGACAAATGGTGAAGAATTATATTTTTAAAAGCTTTCTTTAATATTTAATAAGATGTGGGACAAAGATGGCACATATGCAGATCTTTCTTAATAATCTTGATTAAATAAAATACATTAAATTGACTGCAGCACAAAATGAATAATGTAGACAAATAAATACTTACCAAGATAATCATCCATCAGAGATCCAATGGCAAACTATTAAAAATAAAAATAAATTAGCAAAATTGTGTTTATTTCTTTTATTATTATTTTTTATAAGAAGCTTCACTTACAATGTCATTTTTGTCAACTCTTGTGCCCACTATCTTTAATCTGATTTCATCGTCTTGTTGAATTACAATGTCCTAAAACATGTAGGGGAAAACAACATTATTTGGTTTGACTGTGATTAATAAAACTTGAAATAATGTATGTTACCTCATCAACCGTTTTATAACAAGGGGGATTCGAGTTGGGGTCGAATTCCATTTCAGAAGGAATTGACTGAAAAACACAATAATATTCTCATGAAAAATATAATTTTCCAATTCAATTCAATTTATTCTTGTATAGCCCTAAATCTTAACATAGTCATCTTGTTCAAAACAACAATGGTTCTTCAACTTTGGTTCAGTGTTGGTCTAAGCCAAACATATGAAGTGAAAATAATATTATACAAAAAACAGAAAGACACAAGGGCTTACATGACGAGAGATGAAGCATGACATGGGACCAATTTCTGTGAACAATCCAACCTAGAATAGAGCACAGTTTAAATTGGATTACATTACTTAAGGCTAAACCAAAGGCTAAACCAAATTATGAAGTTAATCAACTATGAATAAAAACAAGTTAAACCAAGAGCTGAAGTAGTTGTGATTCAGGCATGACCATATAACTGACTCAAACCTTGTTAACTTGAGTGACAACAGCATCCACCACCTCTCCTTTGAATGGGCGGAAAACTATGGCCTTGTATTTGACTGGATAAAGGACAAAACCTCTTCCTGGTTGAATAACACCAGCCCCAATGTTATCGATGGTCGTGACAGCAATAACAAACCCATACCTGTAAACAGAGATAAATTAATTAGAGTTGATTAATACACAGACACTTAAATTGTCAGGTAATGGAAGAAACTTGTGAAAAAGGTGAAGAATTGTGCGACAGATTACAATAAAATAACATTTAAAAAAGGTTTTAAATAAAGTAATATATCAAGACATCAGAGTAGTGCTACAACAAATAAATAGTGTGTGTATTTCAAGGCACACATGTGAGATGAAGCTGAGATGAATTTCAGAATAGTCGATTTCCATTCCTGGCATAGTAGTGAAGAAAACTAGCACAAACTCAGAACAATTGCTCATTATATAGACATCTAATACAAAGGTTCACTCTACTGATGACACTGTGATTGAAATATTCCGTGAATAAAAATATAACGCTAGCGTTACATGTTAAATCACTTACTTGCCAGTACATGTGCCCTCCACCTCAGTGAAAAGCTTTTGCTTCACAGTGTTGAGGAGACTGGGGCCAAAATACCTCGGATGTAATAAGATTTCATGCTCTAAAGATATCTGTAATTAGAAAACGAGCAGTAAGTTAGCTACATATCTCTCTAAAAACAAACTTTAGTCGCTGTTTGGCGCATTGTTTGAGAGAGAATAGATCAACCAGGTAACGTCATCTCGTAATAAAACAACAAAACATGTAAGAGCAGGGGACTTACGTGGTAAAACATGACCGAACAAGGAGAATTGTAAATGTGTGTTAGTATTTCAAATGAAGCCAAAGATTTCCATCAAATGAGCGGGGATGAATGAGGCTGTTTGGCTCCGAGGAGAAACACTTCCGGGAGTCACAGAGACTAGTTTTGTTACGATTCATTTATCTTCCGGTTTGGTTTGTTCACGCAGCGTTTACATACAGTCTATGGACATTACATGGATAAAACATATACATGCATACAATAATTACAATCTATGACATGCATATGTCACTGTATGTTTCTACATAGTCGCGTTTGAAGATGGATGCTTCATAAACATTCCAGTGTGGAGTATGAAGCTCTGCTATGGCGCCCCCTGGTGTTGAGGAGCATTACCAGCAGGACGTGGGTGTGTGTGACTGAGCGTCGCTTCGATTGGACCGAAGGAGCTCAGACAGGACCTCAGACGTCCCGCATTGACCTCGACATCAGAGGAACATACGAGACTGATTGAAGTCATTCTGGGTTGGCTGAAATGGCATGTGGTATTATATCCCAATCGTTCCGACTTCACGCCTTCAAAGCGCTAGTAAGTTTTAACGCAGTTCAACATTGTTCTGTGTCTTCATTAACTCAATATATTTTGGTCAGTGTAAAAAATACATCCAGTTGAGTGCTGCCATGAAGACTGACAACTCTAGACATTTCTCCAGCGAGCCTAAGAATATTAGTCGTTACCCCATCCCGACCAAGAAAGACCTGCCCTATGACATGGTGGAGCGTATGGAGCAAGTAGAGTCAAAAGTAACTTAAACGCATTCTTTGTTAACCTTGAAGGCATCAGTGTTTGTTTAACGATGCCATATTTTCCAGGGTGGCTTTTTGCCTAACGTGTTTAAAGTCCTGTCACACAGACCAGCAGAGTTCAGAGCTTTCTTTGCCTATTACAACGAACTGATGAACAAAGAGACAGGTGTGTTTGTTTTCTTTTACAAATCTGAGGTGTGGTGACATGACACATCATGATAGAGATATTGAATAACCACTTTGTCCTTTAACTGAATGCAACATTTACTTGTCCATGAAGAACTCCAGACCTTGCTCTATGAATACAGTTAATCCATCCTATAAATGTGCATTCACCTGTTTATGTCTGCAATGCCTCATAGTAGCCCCATTGCATTAGTTACAAAGAGTGAAAAGAATGCTGGCAATGAATTTATTCCCACATTATTTTTCAGGCAACTTAACCAAAGCCGATCGCGAGCTGATTGTTGTGGCAACAAGTGTTCATAATAAATGTCTTTACTGTGTGATTTCACACAGTGCATTGCACCGTATCTACTCAAAGAAACCCACGGTTTCTGATGAGGTATCGTTATCCTTTCATATGATCAGTTTTTATCGCATGAACTTTTCACCCTGTAACCCTATGTTAATTCCAATTCTCCATGTTGTTGTTTTCATGCAGGTTGTTGTTAACTACCATACAGCTGATCTGTCACCACGAGAACGAGCTATGCTGGATTTTGCTATGACAGTGTGTCGTTGTGACACGGTCACAGAGGAGCACTTTCAGTCTTTGAAAGAGGTGGGCTTCGATGAAGAGGATGCCTGGGACATAGCTGCAATTGCTGCTTTTTTTGCCATGTCCAATAGGCTTGCCCATGTTACTGACATGAGGCCAAATCTGGAGTTCTATAATATGGGCCGTGTCCCAAGAGAAAAGAGAAAGGATAAGCCAGATGAGAAGGTGATTAAGGACTAGTTGTGTAATTGCATTGTTGTATAGTTTGCTTCTGACCTATCGCTACACATACTTCTGATGAATTAGTGAACTCTGACGTATCACAAGACCATCCTTCATGTTTGTCTGTTTCTTTTCTAGATAGAAAAAAAATAAATTACTCTTATAGTATGGTGCGTATGTCAGGTCAACCTGTTCAAATTAAAAATAACATTGTGTTGATGTTGATTCATTCTTGATTACAAAAACAATGGTCATGATGTCAACATTGTGTTCTCCTTTGGGTCTTTGAGTCTACTGGGTTCTTGTTTAGTGAAATTTATTAACAATATAAACCTAAACTTTTAGTTGAGATAGTTATGTTTAGTTTAGTTTATTGTTGTCACACACACACAATATAAACACAGGTAAAGGAAATCAGATAAAATAACCAAAAGTATCCTATATGTCTTGGTTCCCAAAATATATGGATGGTTGCAGAGACTGCTTTGTACCATCAAGGGGCGCTGCAGCATCAGTCCAGGGGAAGTTGGTGTGGACCTGGACTCCCCATGGATCTATTATATTAACGGGACTCTCACCAGCATGTTGTGTCTTTTCAAAAAATATGAAAAATAGTAGTTAACCGTACAAAACAGTTCTCAAAGAACATTTTTAGCCAACTCATCACTTGCATTGTTTACAGCCCTACGTCCAATTATCTACTTGTAGGGATGTTTTTTTATTTTTTATTTAACACTTAGTTTTTTCTTTCTTTCTTGAGTCTGGCATTAATTTCAAATTACTTAAATATGTTTTTCTTTTATTTTCCTTTTTGCAAATGTAGTTTCCATCATGAGCCTTTGAGAGAAGTCAAGAGATTATATTCCATACCGATAATCCAAATGCACATTCTCCCAGATTACTTCATGAGGATTATGAAGCACCCACACTAATCATGCTCCGAGACTCTCCCTTCATAGTATTGTTTTTTGTCATGTTTCCACATGTTTTTATTATTGTTTGTGTCAACATACAATGATACAAAACATTGTACACTACATGGATGACTTCAAATGACTTAAATTTCCAACATACTCTATACATATTATTATAGATTTGAAAAGAAAATATATCATAAATATAATAGAGCAACATCAAAATGTCTCTTGCAAAAATTTGACTTTTTGCATGAAGCACAGTGAAAACAAAGCAGCTAACAGCACTCCTTAACCTGCTGTTGTTATTCATGCATAACATTAGCATTTATTCTATTGCTTTTAGACACTTTTAATAATTCACAGCCTGTTACATGTTAAAAAATAGCTAAACAATTCATGCATGAATAGATAATAAATAGATTTACTCAAATATTTAAAAGGAAAATGGTTATAAAATCTTCTGTGTTCTATGTTGAGTTGTGGCCATCCTTGTATTGGTCATTAATAAGCATCAATGATCTGAGAATAAGTTAATGAAAACTATACTTTTAGATTCAATAACCGTTGCACAACTGTTGTGACTGATTTGTTTCCCCCAAAATGCTGCTCTCCAGCAGGGCCCAGCATCTTGACCATTTGACACACTCACAATCCCATCTGGTGAATTTCAACCCCCACTGTGCAGAAATATGTTAGGCGTGTGTGTAATTATCTCAGATTCCACCAGTTCACACCCATTAACCGCGAGTACAGCATTGGTCTAAAATAAGACCAATATCGTCCCAGGACCCTCGGACACTCAGGTCAGTCAGCCCATTGCATGACAATAACCATAATAACCTCCGGGATGCATGTTGAGCTGGAGCTATTAATGTTTGGAAACTGCTTTCATCGTGATTATGGTTTCAGAATCTGGTTTATCTGTCATATACTAGTGTCATTAGAACCTGCTTGGACTCGAAGGAGCACAAGGACTGGCCTCCTGCGGGTACCTAGGGTCAGGAGTAAACATGGTAAAGCAGCATTTCAAATGAATGCAGCTAAAATATGGGCCATGTTCAAGACTCGGTTGAAGAAATACCTGTATATGTTCAGCTATAGTAGTCTTTAGTAGTAGTTTTTATTTATATACCGCCCTTTCACTGCAGATCTGAGTCTCAAAGCAGTTTACAATTGTCAATTTTGGGCATTTGTCTCTCACTCCACACAGAGATGGGAGTGGGGTCGCCAGTACAGGAGGCACATGCCAGAACTATTGGACATATTTTTAGTGGTAGGGGAAACCGGAGTACCCGGAGGAAACCTACGCAGACACGGGGAGAACATGCAAACTCCACTCAGAAAGGCCCTGGTCCGACCGGGATTTGAACCCAGGACCTTCTTGCTGAGAGGCGAGAGTGCTTTGGAGTGTTCTTCCAAATATGTATGTGGATGGTTTGATGATCAAAAATGTCCAAGAAATCAAGTACCTAGGTGTAATGCTGAATCCTACCCTCAATTTTAAAAACCATGTTAAAAAGGTTTGCCGCGTTCTGAAATTTAACATCGCCAACTTCCAGCACATCAGGAGCTCTTTGTCATTGGAAGCGGCTAAATCATATCTTAATGCAATGATTATATCTCATATCATGTATTGTGTGTCTTCATGGTCTCAAGCTAAAACAACGGTTTTAAACCCCCTTAGATCGTTGTATAACCAGGCTTTGAAAGTCCTGGATAAAAAGCCTCGCCGGTACCATCACTGCAATATACTTGAAAAATACAGCATACTAAGCTTTGACAATCTGATTAGGTATTCCGATGTTCATAAGATTCTTAATGATACTGCCCCACCCCCCCTAAAAACATATGTACAGCTTCGCTCACAGCTAACCAACAGAGCATTAAGATCTGTGTCCAGGGGAGACTGCACAGACCGTCCTCCTGGAAAAACGACCATAGAGGTCGATTCTACAGTTCCCAAAAACGACTCTATTTTACGTATGCGACTCCTAGTGGTTTGTATTGAAAAGCTGGGAGCACACGTGTGACGCATGACGTTTCCTTACGTACGTCCATCAAGTGGTAAACAAGGAAGTTGTTGTTTCTACGGAGGTAAATACATTTGTACCGTTACCTAAATGTTTCGTTATAGCATATTTTAAGAACAGATTATATATTTACCAGAAACAATAACCCTAACCCTAACCCTAACCCTAACCCTAACCCTAACCCTAACCCTAACCCTAACCCTAACTATTGTGAGTGTTGGAGACTGTTAGGAGGATAGAACAGGATGGCGGCTGGTGTGTGCATTGTAATGCGCATTGCGCAATATGACACTTGCGCAGATGAATTGTTTGCAGTTCTGACAGAATGTGATGCTGTTTGTAAACGCGTCCCTGGGTTTGCTGCGTCGCGTGACCATACACTGAAAAATAACGACCATTTAGGCCGCAGCGAAGCGAAGCTGCCCAACCAGGCAAAAAAAACGCCCAAATAGACCGATTTCAGAGTTGTGACAATCGACCCATATTGTCGTTTGTGTATCGACCCATATTGTCGTTTGTGTATGAGGACGTGTAGAGACTGCAATGTTCCTAAGAGAAAGTCTGCCTTCTCTCAATCAGCCTTTTCCTACAAAGCCACTAAAGAATGGAATGGGCTCCCAGACAATCTAAAGAACAATGCAGATTTCCACAGTTTTTCACGGGCAGTTAAAGACTGGCTTTTAGATCAACAGTCCTGCTCGCACTAAAAGTATCAGATGGGTACTTGGCCATCAGGTGTTACCCTCGCGGGTATCGTCTGATGGCCACCACACTATTAGTGTTAAAAACTATTGTATCTATGTGCTAATTATGTATAGCTACAAAATAGTTGTGAAAACTGTTGCACTTTGTCATTCTGCACTTTATGAATGCAACTGGCACTTTTCATCTGCACTTTTACTATATATTGCACAAATGTTTATTGTCTATGTTTTGTATTTTAATTAACTCTGTTATGTATTATGTATTTTAATTGTATTTTTGATTGTATAAGGACTACAGATGGAAATTAGCATTGTGCTAAATCTGGGGCAGCCATCTTTTTAATGTACCTGTCCGTTGTCCTTTTAAATAAATAACTAAAACTAAAACTAAAAAACTAAACTATCCACTCAGCCACCGTGCCGCCCATGCTATGAATACGAATGATTCTATTTGATTGTTTTAAACCCTCGGGTAATTAAGATTTAATGTTGCTGTAATGTTTAATTTGGTTTTATTGTTTGTTTTTCATTTTGATATGCGTTTTTGATTTGTCTCGTGAAGCACTGTTGTGTGCCTTGCATGGAAATTGTGCTATACAAAAAAATGATGATTGATGTATGAAGCCTTATGCTTCACATACATGAAGGTGATTTTAAAATGTAATAGGATTTAAATATGAGTTGCATGCTGTTTGTTTATTTTTTTAATGTTTGACCCTGACTGTTTTACTGAGAAATTACAGAATATGATAAACAATTAATTTAATGAGATATGACATCTAACCTATCCCCTGATTTGCAATTCATAATACCAAATGACTGGCTGCATAAGAAAAATAAAACTTATGATATTTGTAAATAATGTGAGACGTATTTTGGTAAAATAGTCTGTAATCTGGCTTCACATCCTATTGCACCGACCAATGGTCTCCAACCAGTAGCTCGCAAGCCCCTTTCCTGAATGACTTATTATTACATATCTATTTTAAGTATACATCTAGGGTTATACAGTATTATGGTATATTTTACCATAATACCTTACCAAATAAGTGTTTACCATTTTACCAACATGTATGGACATTTTCTTCTGTGTGTGCTTTATATTCTTCATGTGTTTTAACTGTTGATTCTCTGACCTGTGTTGGTGATTTCAATGGTTTTGTTAAGTCCTCTGAGATGACTTCTGTTGTGACCTAGGGCTATACAAGAATAAATTGTATTGTATTGTATTGTATTTTACATCTGTGTTCTCCATATTTTGTTGTAGTTATTATACACACGTTTGTTACGACGGTAAAAGAGGGAGCACTCTGCCTCTACTGTTGTATAAAAGTAGCTCTCCGATTGGGAAAGATTGGAGACCCCTGGCACAGACGACTGACTGCACATGTCTGCCAACCCCCGTCTGCCTTTCCATGTCAAATCAATCAACAAGAAAGTCCAACAGCTGCCATAAACATTACCCAGTTAAAAAAACAAAATCACACAACAGAGAATTAGATCTGTTCCCAATTGTATCCTTGTTTCCCTTTTTGAAACTTTATATCTAGGCCAAGCACCCGCGCCCGCTGAGAGAATTTACATAATAATAGTCAGACACACAGTTCTGATGCTGTGTCATGTTATTAATTACTGTAATTAATTAGCCATCTAATATGTACCTGTGATGTAGGAACTGAACTGTGATCCAAGCTCAAATGTCACATGAATTTATTCCATGGAACACAAAACAAGGGGAGGTCTTTGTTGGCCATGCAGAAGGAGCACATGGCCCATTTATTCATTCCTCTGCCTTCCGTTTGTGATGTTTTTCAATTATTTTGTTATTTCTGGCTCTTTTATGAATCTAATATAACTATACAAGTACAGTGAAGCTTAAAAGAGTGAACTCAATTACAAGCAAATAATATTCCTATAGTGTATACATTTTAGAGCAATCCTTTGTACAAACTGGGATAAACAGACCCGTTAACACTCAATTCGAATTTGTGTTTCGTGTGTTTCTTTATAATAATGGGACAAACATAAAAACAGCAGAGTGGAATGTACTTTACATTTAGTGACAATACTTACATGATTTTAGATGAAATATATCAGACAGATGTAGTGTCAAGCATGATCAACATGACCAAGAGCACATTAGTTACAGCAGCAGATGTTGTACATCATGTGAATGTGTGCAGTGCAAAAGAGGGTTTGATCTTTTATCTACATTTATTTATCTCCAGTATTTTCTTTATATTAGACATTGACAAACTTCACTGTCATCAAAAGAAGCGAAAAGGCTAAAAATAGATCTTAAAAACATAATAGAGTATAGGCTTTTTCCCAGGCAAGTGCAGTGGTTTTTGTTTTTAAAATGGTGTGTCGACACATTAACGTGACAATTAATTAGGGTTAAACATTTACTTTTGAATGTGCTGGAAAACGGCTGCAAGTCCTAAGTAGCTCTGAAACAGTTGTTGTTTAGTGCTTTATAATTTTTCTTTTTCTTGTTTTTATCTACCTGAGATGTTACTGCAGAACAGTGTTCATGATTTTACACGGCTCCAGACCAGAGCTTGGTTCAAACCAAGTGGATCAGGTGAAAATTCACTGGAGGAATGCTAACTTTTTGAAAAATGCTAATGAAGCATTTAGCATTTTACTTTGGACAAGAGCAAAAAAAATGTTCCAAACCAAGCGGCTACTTCACTTTGTGACCTGTCCTGCTCCACCCAGAGGCTACTCCACCTCTGCTGCTGTGACCCGTCCTGCTCCACCCAGAGACCACGCCATCTTTGCTGCTGTGACCTGAAGGCCTGTGGCTGATTAATACTATTATTAGCATTTTAGAGTGATCAATTTTATTTTTGCTGCTACTGGACACTTGAATTTCTCCTACAGGGATCAATAAAGTATCTATCTATCTAAACTTCAGACTTTCAACATAAAGCCACGTTCCCACTGGATTATGCAAGTTTGAAAGCAAAGTCAATGGTGAAGTCCGCCCATGAGAGGAATGGCTTGTACGTCGCGGCATGCACTTTTGTCCTGCGCAGCAGATGCGTTGTTGCAGCGCGGCAAAGACGTGAGTACAGCAGCTAGATGCATGCAGCAAAAGCAAAAGATTCACTGAACATCCTCGCTCCACACATGTGCAAAGTGGTCAAGGGGACACAAGTTGGGGGCACAACTGTTACGGTGTCTCGGTGATGACTGTAACGTGTTCGCCGATAAGGATGTACCGGTTATTAAACTCGTTAGCATCCAAGCCCTGTTTTTATCTCCATCGCAAGGCAGTACATCAGATTGACTAAACTCATGCGGCTGAAATTGAGTGAACGTGCGTCCATGCCTCCTTCAACCAAGCCCCGGCGATCCAAGATGGCATCCTATTCAAATCAGTGACTGGTGCTCAGTGGCGCATGAGCCACTATGGGCACTAAAAGATTAGCAGAACTCGCCCATATTTGGGCATCGTCTGGTCCTCCCGGTTTTGTGCAGTGGACAAGCTACAATGACGTGTTGCGCCAAATACGTGTGTGTGGCTCTCAAGCACGTGCACAGAGGGGCTCGGCCGCGCTCTGACCAATCAGAGCTGCTGATCAGAGTAGCGGTAGAGCGGAGCCAGAGTGGGAGACGATCGAACAGAGTTTGTGGTACAAGTATGGAAAACCAAAGGATTTAAAAAGAAAAAAGTTCAAGACAACAAGGGACACTAAAATCCCCACAAAATCCGACCTTTAAGTAAGTAAGTAATGTTTATCTATATAGTGCATAGTGGTCACCCAAAGCGCTTTACAATGGTCAGAGTTCAGATATTGTTCCAATCATTCCACACACGGTGATGACAGAAGCGAGTCGCCAAACACACTGGCGCATCAACTCCCTTTAAGAAAGCTGTAGGTTTTCTGTCAGCTGCGGTCGAGCTGTTTTAGTTTACATTGAGTTATATGGGGAAAATGTCTGGGTAGCCCACTTGTATTTAGTCTTGTTTAGTCTGCAGTACCGCGAGCACATGGATCCTTTAGCTCCAAGCTGTAATACCCTACCCAGTTATTATAATAGATCCATGCCATCAACGCACATCCATGCATCAGCGGTGGGAACGCGGCTAAGTCTTCTAAACACACATATTATCACAAGCACAACTTTACAATGAGCTAAGCAGCGCGCACAAAAGCAAGAGCTTCACTCTTGTTACACGGCTTGTTGCATTGTCATTATGCAAAGAATTGGTCCTTGTGGGTTTTATTGCGTCTGCAGCTATATTTGGTGCGACTGTTCCCGGCCCATGTCGCTGTAAAGAAAGGGCGTCCCGTGGCTTTTGGTCGAGGTTCCAGAGTGGGAATGATGCTTCAGTGATAATATTGCTTGTAATAAATAATAATATTAAAACTATACAATTGAAACTATTGATAGAGCACAACATGGCCACTTATAATGCACAGAACAGCATCCGAGAAATATTTTCCACCAAACCAGCCACACCTTATTCACAGATAATTTGCCACACATACAGTTTGCTACATGTATTTTGGTTATGAAACAAAATTAGTCCATATACCTTCCAGTATTTCCAAACACATTTTTCCCCGTTTTCTTTCCTGATGATTCCTTTCCAAGCAAATTATGTGAAGTCCTTTGAAACTGCCTCTATAAAATTGGGTGCCGACATGAGGATGGTAAAGGTGATGATGATGGAGAAGAGAGAGAAGGCCACCAGACATAACCTGTCCACCACCGCTGCCGCAAACTTCCACTCGCTGCAGACCGATTCGGCCTCGTCTTGATCCCGAAATCTCTGGGCTATGTAAGACACTTCCTCCAAAATGCGTATTATTTCTTGAGGGGGGTACAGTACTCCTAACCCCAAGCCGCCACTCGTCACTGGGGGCTCTCCGTCATCACAGACCCGCCCCCCCAGTGCAACCCCAGAGTCGCTAGAGGTAGCGCAATGCGAGCTGTCCACTGAATGGTAGTTTCCGTAGTAGAGGCCCGTGGATCCATTGGAGGCCCCGGGTGGGCAGGGCGGGCCGGACCCCTGGGAGAGAGGTACAGACGCACTCGGGACGGTCCCCAGTTCGATGGAGCTGGTGGTAGAGAGCTGCTGTGACGCCTGCCGGTACTTGTACACTGGACGTTTGCGCTTGTCTTTGGGCTGTTTCATCCTCAGGAACCAGGCGCACCAGTTCAGCAGGATCACACGGACCTGAAACACAACAGTACAGTGTTGTCTGTTCAGTCGATTAATTGTTCAATGAAATCTTAGCTGAATAATTATTTCATCCCAATGTGAAAACTGTAGAAATGAGATTATATATATAGAGAAAAATGTCTTCAGATTTGTACATTTGTCTTTGTTTTTCTTTTATTACATATTTGACTGGAACAGAAAATGTCAATGAAACATATGGTTGAGCATAATGTAGACATGCCAGACTGTAGCCAAACGCTAATTTTCATTCAGAAGGGATTATATACAAATACAGAAGAAAAAAGCATAAACGTAACAGGAATTCACAGAGTAGGGCAATTAAATACAAAAACAAAAACTGTTGCACATCTACAGGTAGCTCCTTGCTCCCAGTAGTTCGGTTCTATCACTATTTCATTTGATCAGCTTTTTACAGATAGAACAGTGAAAAATATTTTACTTTAACAAAATTATTAAAGGAGCAATATGTAAAAATCTGGCCAAAAGTGGTACTGCAGTCACAGTCAATATTTTGTAGTCCTCTCCCACTCTCCCTGACTCTGGTTGCCAGATTCACACCAAATCCAGCAGCAAACACAGGGAATTATTTTATCAGTTGTTTGTCCGTCTCCATTCACATTGCCATGACAGCCGTGCTAATGCTGAATGAATGTTTTGATTAATGTTTTTTTATTATTATTATTTGGACATTTGAGATAAAAAAACAAAAACAAAATAAAAGCAATGTAATTATACATAGTTTATGCAAAATAAATAAGCAATTGATGTCCAAAATAGGAGTGGGAAGAATGGATGTTGGAACGTATTTCTTTAACGTATCAACATCAGGGTTTGCTCAAGAGGATATCACCTTTCAATTTTATTTATTCCCTATTTTTTAGACAAACATGTAAAAGTCCCACTTCAAAAAGAGACTAACATTATTTTAATTGGGGTACATGTGGTCTTAAATGATTATTTTTACAATTAAGCTATAATCTGCAAAAAAAACGTCTTGACCTTCATCTTTTACCGTTTTTAGAGCAATCTGTCATAGAATGTGATAACATGCAATAAATACAAAAAGACATAGCCCGGGATCGAACCCGGGTTCCTGCATCGTAAGCTAGGGTGACCATACGTCCCGATTTACCCGGGACTGTCCCGATTTTGAGCACTGCGTCCCGTGTCCCGGCGGATTTCACAAGCCCCATTGTTTTGTCCCACTTTTACGCACGCTCTGTCCCGGGTGTCCCGATTTTTTTAGCCATGCATATGCAATGGTAAAAAGCTAATACAGCGCACAGTGGCTGAATCTTGTTGCCAATCACACAGTTGCCATAGCAATTTATAATATGAACCAATTGAAAAGATGAACAGTCCTCCGCGTGTCTGTAGCTTGATTCTCATTGGTCCATGGCATTGACATTAGATGTTCACAACAAAACGCTATGGATCAACATTTCTTATGCTGAACATGCCTAAAAGAAAGTCGAGGTTAACCCAAGAGCTCCTGGAACAGTACCGTTTCCTCAGGAAAGTACCGGGTAATGAAAATGCTGCCTTTTGTACACTTTGTAAGTGCGAGTTTTCCGTCGCTCATGGCGGAAAAGCCGACGTGCAGAGCCACAGTAAAACTAGCAAACACAAGAGATGGGAACAGGCGGGAAGTAGCTCTGTTAGCCCATTTTTTGGGCAAGCTGCGGCTGGTGATGAAGAACTTAAACGTGCTGCTCAGGAGGCCACATTTGCCTATCACCTTGTGAGGCACAATCACAGCTTTCGTTCAATGGACTGCACAGCTGGGCTGACGCGGAAATTTTATGACCAACGTTTTACCTGTGCTCGCACCAAAGCGGAGGCAATTGTTACGAATGTGATAGCCCCACATGCTATGGAGTTGCTGCAGGAGGACACCGCGGATGTTACTTTCGTCTCCGTCGCAGCGGACACATCAAACCGCAAAGCAGTAAAACTTCTCCCTGTTGTAATCCACTACTTTACATTGACTGAGGGCGTGAGCGTCAAGATACTCAATTTTGTGTCACTACCAGGTGAGACATCCACCCTCCTATTTAATGAAGTCGAGCGTAGCCTGTCAGCTTTTGGTCTGATGGATAAAGTGATTGGCTTTTGTGCGGACAACACAAACACAAATTTTGGAGGAAAGGCAAGAAGAGGACAAAACAATGTGTTTTACAAACTTGATCAAGCCACCCCCTGCAGTTTGATCGGAGTAGGTTGTGCAGCACACATTGTGCACAATGCAGTGCAATCAGCAGCAGACACACTTCCCTGTGACATAGAGAACTTTGTTGTCAAGGTATTTGGATACTTTCACATTTACACCGTCAGAACTGAGGAGCTGAAAGATTTCTGTAATTTTGTTGAGGTTGAGCATGCCACGCTTCTGGGGACTAGCAGAACACGCTGGCTTTCACTGGGGCCTGCTGTTGAGAGGGTCCTGAAGCTTTACCCAGCTCTTCAGTCCTACTTCAGGTCTCAAGATAAGGCTCCTAATTCTATTCTAAAGTTTCTTGAAGACCAAGTGTGCGAGGCATGGCTTTGGTTTATTCATAACCAACTGACACTTTTCAATGACACCATCAAACAACTGGAGAAGGAGAAGAGCTCTGCCATCCATTCTGCCCTGTACCTCTCCAGTCTTAAGGAAAAGCTTATGGAGAGGAAGGCTGCACTCTTCATGGGCTTAAAGGTGAGTTGTATGGATCATATAAAACTATAATAATACATACTTGTACACATTTGATAGCACTGTTATTTTTTTATTTGCATACAGTTGTATAAATTATAGTGTAAATAGTAGGGGTGTAACGGTTCAGCTATCTCACGGTTCAGAACAGTTCACGGTGCAGGACCCACGGTCCGGTGCATCACGGTGCTAGTGCGATATAATTGGCTAATAAATCAGTTTTGAAATAAAATAGCCTTAATGTTCATTATTAAGCAGTTTTTGTAATTTCAGAAATACATTGAAAATGCTTTCTAATTTTTCAAAGCTGCTTTACAATAAAATGTGCCCTAGGGCTAAAAAAACACACACACACAAAAAACCACAGTGCTCTAAAGTTAAAGAAAAAAGTGCACTGGATTTATACTTTACCGCAGCCTGGCCATCATCAGCAGGAGAAACGTTTGCAAAGGCACGCGGATTTCATTTGTAGCACGGTGCATTGTTACACCCCTAGTAAATAGTAAATAGCAATTTAACAGTAACAACTGTTCATGGTTTTATTAATTGCATAATGAAATGTTTTTTGTTTTTTAATTTAGGTGAAAAGTCTTCTGGTTGGCTTCCAAGAGCGCCATCAAGTGGATGTGTTCAAGAAAGGCGTCCAGAACTTCTATGACTGCTGCATCTCATACCTCCAGGAGTGGGGCTCTCCATTCACTGAGCTGAAGTGCCTCTCCTGGACACTGCTAGAGCATGCACCAGAGTGGGATGAGGTTGAGTGCTCCCTGAGGTATGTCTCCACCAAGCTGCCACAGATGGACATCATTGAAACAGAGCTGTTTGATGAAGTCACTTCTCTCAAAACTTACACATCAGAAAAGATTGAACAGTGGAACACAATTTCAACACCTGCAGATGAGCGCTGGGCAGAAATGTTCACACATTTTAAGTACAGACATGTTCCATTCAGAAACATTTTTGTTATCTGCCAGTTTGCCATGTGCCTTCCTGGCACAAATGCCCCTGTTGAGCGCATTTTTTCAATTATGAACAATACTTGGACTGATGAGAGAAACCGTATGGGACTGGAAACTTTGAAAGCGCTGCTCATTACTCGGGTGAACTTTCAGTATAGTTGCTCTGAGTTCTATACAAGGATCAGTGACAACCGTAGCCTCTTGAAAAAGGTACACTCAAGCATGAAATACTAGAGTCAGTAAGACTGTTCAGGGTTTTGCATTGAAGCACTGATTTTGTTTGTGCAATAAGGTTTAATATTTCAAAACAATTGATTGTTTAAATGTTATACATCTTTTGATTGTTTGGGAGCCACATTTTGACTGCAATAAAATTTCACTTCATTCGTTTGTGGTGAGAATTTGTCGTATAATTTTGGTATTAAAATGTCCCAGTTTTTCATTTTGAAAATCTGGTCACCCTATACTTGAAAGTACCTCACACGAGTTGATTGCCATTCGAGCTAGTTGCTAATGCTAACAGGTTGTATACTAAAATATTAGCTAATCATGCTTCAAAAGGGAAACTATGCAAAGTAAATCACTGAATATGTACTTATTACACGGTTGATTCGTTTTGCATGAGCATTGAACAGATGCAGTCTTTAGTTTAGCTACCATCAAAGAGTACTCCGATTCTTCAGCCTGTTTACTCTGACATTGGCCTGTTAGCAATAATCGGCGCTAATAGGCTAGCCCTATTCACTTATAGTAGTACTAGAATTTAATATGCTGCTATCCAGAATATATAACTACAATATGTGTTTATAATATTTCGGGTGTTCATTTTGACATGTTCAGATGAATTATGTTAAAAAAACAGCTTTGAAGTGGCACCTTTTCACTTCCGCATAGAAACCATCGTATATATTAACCCTTTAAGCGCCAGAGGTTTTTTTCCAAAACGCTCAATTTTGACATCTTAATTTCAAAAGGCTATAACTTAAAAGTGATAAGAGATAAAGGCTTTCTGTAAATTAGAAAAATATAAAGGATGGTCCAAAGTTTATGTAGAGAATAAATCCCCCCATCTAATTTGCATATTATGACGTCATTTGGCGTTAGAAATAGTGGATTTTAGAATTTTCATACAATATTTGTATTTTTCTAACTGACAGACATATATTTATCACTAGAACATGAACACACACAGAGCACACACTGTAACATTGTAAATGTTCATGAAAATAGTAAAAAAATACAAATCATGGTGCTGCTGTGAGCAGTCTGTCCAGACGCGCGCCTCCAGGTGATGCGCGTCACCGCGACTCTCCTGCTGCAGATGTCTCCCCCACTCTCTCTCGTCTAACACACACAAGACGAGGCTTCTACAACACATTACTGTCCCGGTGATTACGTGAGGCTTGAAAATAAATATGTGGGAAGCACTTTTAGCGGAGACTTTGGCGGAAACTTCAGCGGAGGCTGGAGGTCGCGGCGCGGCGCCCCGACCCGAGTTCCAGGCTTGTTTTCCGCAAATCTAACCTGTCTCCGAACCTTCCAATGACTTTGCCCTCTAACACTGTTCCCACTGCAGACCCTGTGCAAAGTGTCTAAAGTTAGTGTTTGGTGCGGTACAACACTCGCAGGCTGCCCCGCTGCTGCATTCGCTTCGCTATGATTTCCGCACTGGTTCAACGCGGTCTTGCTCAAATATTTTGTATGGGAGCATGAAGTTTTTTGGGGCCAGGGAGGTAGTCTGACATGTCTGCTAACTAGTGGCAGGGAGTATGAATGAATTTTGACACTCAGTTGGTCACACTCGGCCGTTTTTAACAGTACCGCAGCTTATCGACTTAAGTCGACCGTGGCGCCTAGAGGGTTAACGGACAGAGTCACGCCTATCTCCGCCGTTCATAGGAGTTGACCAAGTCCCGGCGATCCAAGATGGCGCCCTATTCAAATGAATGGTTGTGCTCAGTGGCGCTTTGTGACGGCATGGGGGCTGAAAGATTAGCGGAAGTTGCCTGAAACTCGCAAAGATCTATGGGAAACTCGCCTGTATTTGGGCATCGTCTGGTCCTCCCGGTTCTGCGCAGTGGATGATCTCCCATAATGCGTTGCGCCAAACACGCGTGTGTGGGTCTCACACCGGGTCTCACGCACGTGCACAGAGGGGCTCGGCCGCGCTCTGACCAATCAGAGCAGTTCATCAGAGCGGGAGTTAGAGCGAGAGCCAGAGGAGCAGAGTTTGTGGCACTAAAGTGTGGATTTAAACAAAACCGAAGGATTTAAGAAGAAAAAAAGTTCAGGATGACAAGGGACACTAAAATCCCCACAAAATCCGATCTTTATTAAAGCTGTAGGTTCTCTGTCAGCTGAGGTTGAGCTGTTTTAATATGCATTGAGTTCTATGGGGAAAATTTCTGGGTAGCCCACGTGAATTTAGTCTGGTTCAGTCTGTAGTACCGCGAGAATCCCCTGAGCATGTGAGTTATTCAGCTACAAGCTAGTAATACCCTATCCAGTTAATATAATACATCCATGGAGTTGGCCATGAAAAGTGCTTTCATGGAGCAATCCAAGATGGCCGCGAGTGGTCCCGCCCACAAGAAAATTGTGAAAAAACCCATCTGCGCATGCGTCAGCTGGCGCAGCTCCATTCATTCGAACGAGAGACTTCAAAAGCTCCCCGCGAGTAAACTAGAGTGGACCAAAAAAATCCACCCCCCTCAGCATTGACACACATGTAGAACGGAGCTTTGGGCCAAGAGCCAACTTTTGGTCCATCCTGTAAAGACGTTTTTGAGAGGTCTGCTAACGCTATATGTTAGCATTGGCTAATTCTTCTTCTGGGTCCACCCCCAACGGCCCGGGGTGGTTTGCAAGCATGTCAGCACACGTCATTTTGGCCACTTTTGAGCTGGGACCCTCCCCCACTGATAGAAACGCTAGGGGGAGCCAAAATGGCGGCGATGACGTAGGAGAAGGCCATCTCACAGCAGCGGACAGCAGTCTGGGCTGTAATCTGTAGGAGGTTTCACTGTCATCTGAACAAGGTATAAACATATTTTCATCCGTTTTGTACATAATAGTTTGCAACTCTTTTAACCTTTTAGCCTTATATTTGAGATTCAAGCTAATTAGTGTTGGGCAAGTTAGCTAACTCTACTTGATATCATAAAACATGCAAACAAGGCAAATATTCGTTTTTACATTATGCCAGTCTCACTTTGGTTACCTTAGATTTATTTACCACAATGTACATTGTAATATCCATAAATGCTAACACCTATTAACGGTTTAATTAGCATTTTTATAAATGATTACATCACATGTAGTTTACGTTTTCAACTTCTGCAGCTTTTTGTTCATAAAAGTAAAACATTTATTTAATTCAAGTTATTTTGATTAGCATTTATGGATATTACAATGTACATTGGGGTAAATAAATCTAAGGAAACCAAAGTGAGACTGGCATAATGTAAAAACGAATATTAGCCTTGTTAGCATGTTTTATGATATCAAGTAGAGTTAGCTAACTTGCCCAACACTAATTAGCTTGAATCTCACAAATAAGGCTAAAAGGTTAAAAGAGTTGCACACTATTACGTACAAAACGGATGAAAATATGTTTATACCTTGTTCAGATGACAGTGAAACCTCCTACAGATTCCAACCCATGGATCTATTATAATAACTGGATAGGGTATTACTAGCTTGTAGCTGAATAACTCATGTGCTCGGGGGATTCTCGCGGTACTGCAGACTGAACCAGACTAAATTCACGTGGGCTACCCAGAAATTTTTCCCATAGAACTCAATGCATATTAACAGCTCAACCTCAGCTGACAGAGAACCTACATCTTAAATAAAGGTTGGATTTTGTGGGGATTTTATTGTCCCTTGTCATCCTGAACTTTTTCAAGTCAAAGATTTTTGACTCTGAGCTGACTTTTGACAAAAATAGGTTTTTATCATCTAAAGAACAATTAGAACAATTCGCTGCATTGGCTCCCCGTGTGTTTCAGGATCGATTTTAAGGTTCTTTTAATGGTTTTTAAATGTCTTAACGCCCAGATTTTTCACTTGTGATGATGGATTAAAAGAGTGTGATTGGTGTTTTGATAAAAGTTTTTCTCTGTGGGCCTCAGGACCGATGACTAAAACCTCAGTTTTGTCCTGGTTGAGCTGGAGAAAGTTTTCTGCCATCCAGGATTTCAGGTCTAAAATGCAGTTAAAAAGAGCATCCATTGGCCTGGTGTCGTCAGGAGACATGGAGATGTACAGCTGTGTATCATCTGCATAACTGTGGAAGTTAATTCCATGTCTCCTGACGACACCGCCAAGAGGGAGCATGTACAGGTTAAAAAGGACTGGACCTAAAATGGAACCCTGGGGCACACCACATGTGATTTTATGGATCTGAGAGGAGCAGGTATCCAAACTCACCATGAAGGATCTGTCTGTTAAATAAGAAGTGAACCATTTGTGGACAGCACCAGAGAGGCCGAGGTGTTGTAGGCGTGATAAAAGAATGGTGTGGTCTACTACTGTATCAAAGGCAGCGCTTAGATCCAGTAGAACCAACACAGTCACCTTTTTAAAATCATAACTTAGTCTAAAATCATTTAAAATCTTTCAAAGAGTGGTTCACCCTAAAACCTGATTGAAATTTCTCTCAAATTTGTTGCTGATCTAAAAACTTTTTCAAAAATTTTGCTTAAAAATGGCAGGTTGGATACCGGTCTGTAGTTGTTATAATCATTAAAATCTAAATTGCTCTTCTTCAGAAGGGGTCTCACCACAGCCGCTTTGAAGGCTGCAGGAAAGACCCCAGTCTGAAGAGAGCAATTCATCAGGTTTAAAAGCTCCTCTCTAAAAGATTCGTAAAATGACTTAAAAAATGGAGTGGGGACTGGATCTAAAAGACATGTGGTGGGCCTCACTGAGGAGAAAACTTTATCAAGCATCTTAGCATCAACCAGGACAAAACTGTCCAGTGTTTCCTCTGGCAAAGACAAACAATCAGATGTGTTAAATACAGTTGTGCGGTTGGATAAAATGTTACATCTGATTGTGTTTATCTTCCCCGTGAAGTGGACTGCAAAATCCTCACAGAGGGAGTCTGTGGCGCTACGCGGACGTAGCGCTCCTAACTTATCTGCGCACTAACTTCTCTCCGGAGACTTCTCTCTCGCTGCTACTGTGTGTACTACAAGTCACGCTGCTTCTATTGACGGAAGTGAGCGAGAGAGAAGTCTCCGGAGAGAAGTTAGTGCGCGGACGTAGCGCTACTCAGATTACTACGCCTCACAATATAGTACCCGTTTTATCCGCTGAGAAAATCGACTGTTACATTTCTGTGTTACTATACTTTGCAGTGTAACACGTCACGTAACTATATACATTTAATAGGGAACACTTGGAAGAGTTTGATAGCTTCTAGCGGGAGCTACCTTTTGGTGCTACAAAATATACAGAGGAGGCTGCGTTTGTGCTCCCGTTTTTGCTCCGTTTGCATGACAGAGCGCACGGACTAAGACCAGACAGGTACGTATTAACTAGTCTAAGGTAAGGTAAGAACATATGTCAGTATGTAAAAACGGTGAACTATTCCTTTAAGCACAACAGTGGTCGTCTGGGAGAACATTACAAAGTTGTTGATTTGCCAAAAAATAGTTCAAATACAGGAAATGCAATAACAAACAAACACAGTGTTACCCACTTTCCAGAAATGTTAAGATAAGGTAAGATAAGAAAAGAGTTCCTTTATTCGTCCCACAGTGGGAAAATTTTTATGTTGCAGCGCACATACGGGACATGAAAATGTGTATGTGAAAATGTGCACTTTATTGTCCCCGTAGTGAAATTTGTCCTCTGCATTTGACCCATCCTGATGCCACTAAGGCTTACGTCAGGAGCAGTGGTCGCCGTAGTACAGCGCCCGGGAACCCATCTCCAGATGTTAATGCTCGGCTTGATCAGGACTACCGAAGCTAGAGGATTTTACCTGGTGAGCATATTTTTCAGTGGTAGGGGAAACCGGAGCACCCGGAGGAAACCGGAGCAGACACGGGGAGAACATGCAAACGCCACTCAGAAAGGCCCTGTTCCGACCGGGATTTGAACCCAGGAACTTCTTGCTGAGAGGCGAGAGTGCTATCCACAGTAGTAAGAAGAGCACACGGGGAGTACACAAAATATACAAAATAAGTAGTAGCTATGTTTAGAGCTGCAACTAACGATTATTTTGTAATCGATTAATCTATCGATTATTTTTACGATTAATCGAGTAATCGCTTGGCTGTGAATTGTGTAGAAAAAAAATATTTTTTTCATCACAAAAAGCTAAAGTGGCAACACTCGAGGACGTATTGATGGCGTAAACTTAAAGTAAATGTTTGTAACAGGCTCTTTGTGCTAATTCTGCTATCTGATTGGATGAAACAGACAGATATTCATGAAATTATAAAAACAAAGTTGGTTTTAATCATAAATACTACATTTTCATGTCATTTTTGCTCTGTTTGAGTCCATGTGAACCAGAAACGATTAATCGATTACTAAAATAGTTGTCGACTATTTCAATAAATCGATTAGTCGTCGATTAATCGATTAGTTGTTTCAGCCCTAGCTATGTTTCCTAGCTGTAGATGCTGTTAATAAATGTCCCAAAACATCACTGATTTGGGACATTTATTAACATAACATTTGCGTGTTTAACATAAAGTTTGCATGTTCTCCCCGTGTCTGCGTAGGTTTCCTCCGTAGTGGTAGGCTTCCCCTACCACTAAAATATGTCTTTAGACCCTCCTGCATCAGTAAGGAACCACTCAAACAAAGCTATCACCACCTACCGAGCCATACGGTGATATGAAGAGAAATGGTGAGTGCTCGAGCGTTTTACTTTTCAATGTTAGTCAATAAAGACAGAGCCTGAGCTAAACTTCGTCACAAGAACTTCCATGAGCCTATAAACTGGATAAAGCCGCTGTCAAACCACAAGAAATTAAGCTATGGAAAAGAACTTATTTTTCCCGGTTCTTTCCTTCTGGCCTCTCTCTTGTCTTTATTTCATGTTTCTCCCTCTGGTCTCTCCCTCGTGTCTCTCTCTGGTCTCTCTCTCTCTTGTCTCCCTCTGGCCTCGGGTTCTCTGGTTTCCCTCTCTGAGCTTTCTTTCTCTCTCTCTCTGGCTCTCTCTCTTTTCTTTCTCTCTGGATTCCCACTATGTTCTATCTCTCTGGTCTCCCTCTCTTGTTTCCTTCTGGCTCTCATGGTTTCCCTCCATGAGCTCTCTCTCTCTTTCTCTCCTTTTGGTCTCTCTCCCCTGGTCTCCATCTCTTGTCTCCCTCTGGCCTCTGGTTTCCCTCTCCTTGCTCTCTCTCTCTCTCCCTCTGGTTTCTCTCTGGTTTCTCTCTCTGGTCATCTTCCCTTGTCTCCCTCTGTCATGGCTGTCTGGTTTCCCTCTCTGGGCTCTCTCTGTCTCTCTCTCTGCAGTGTCCTTCTCTGAGCTTTCTCCCTTTGCTCTTTTCATCTAGTTTTTCACTTGCGGGTTAGCAATGTTTAAATTTAAATATGTTTGCTGTTAAGTATTGATAATGGGGAAGGCACCTATAAGCTTTTTATATTTTCGTTTTAATGTTTTATATTTTTATCTTTCGTTTTAATGTTCTGTAATTATTTATGATTTTAATGCTATCTAGTTCAGCACTTTGAGTTGCCTTGTGTATGAATTGTGCTATACAAATAAACTTGCCTTGCCTTGCCTAAGCTTTTTGCTTCTGCCTTCTCCTTTTGAGCTTTCTTTCTTGAAGTTTTTGTGCCTGTAAAATTGTAAAACTGCTCAAATAAAAAATACTTCTACTACCACTGCAATGTCCATACGTAAACAGTATTAAGGTTTTTACGCTGCGTTTTTAGTCCCATAACAGTTTTATTTTGAAACGGTGCTACCGGAAGTCTCGTGTCTGTCTCGCGACTCTGGAGTAAAGATGGCCGCCTCCCTGAACCGGATGAATCAGATCACAAGTTTACAGCCTCAAACCGGGCCGTCTGCCATGGAATCCCTTCGCAAATGCACCTTTCTTCTCATAGTCGTGTCTTTACTCTGTCGACTATCGCTAGCGGACGATTTCGAGCTGGAGGAATTCTTGAAACGGGAATATTCTCTCATCAAACCGTATCGAGGTGAGCCAGCTACCTGCATGCCTTGTAATTGGCCTCATTTGTTTCGTAATGTGGTCTTGTTTATGTCATTACGACTCTATCACCTCCAATATAATCAATACACGGATACAGGATATTTTATTAATTGATGGGAGGAGGTAAGCAGATTTTCATTCATCATTCTTTATAGGAGGTGTTCTTGATGACATTGAGTTTGAGAGGGATTTGGAGATGGGATTTCATTTTTTTGATAGGGGGTAGTGAGAAATAAATAGAGATGTGGATTGGAGTGGATCTCGGAAGAGGTAGAGGAGGGGAAAGTTAGGGGGATTTGTAGGAGATGGGAGGGTTTTTTAGTTTTTGTGGTGAGTTTTTGGAGGTGGGAAGAAATGAGGAGGTTAAAAGTTGTAGGGGATTGGTTGTTTAGGTGTTTTTGATGGATTGGTGAGTGATGTTGGGGGGGGATGAGGGGTGAGTTTTAAGTGTTATAGGTGGTTTAATATTATTAATTTGAATAAGATGTTAAGAATGGGGTGGTGGATAGGTAGTATTTGGGAGGTTGTAGTGTATTGAGTTTGGTGGGGGTTTGTTGTAGGGTGTTATTGGGGTAGGAAGAGAGGTGGATTTGGAGTTGATGTTTGAGAAGAAGGTTTTGAATATTGAGAATTGAGGGGGGGGTTTTTTTTGTATATAAAATTGGGGAAAGAAGGAGGGTAGAATTTGAGGAGATGTAGAAGGGTAGGGTGAGAGTGGGAGGAGTGGGAGAAGTGTATGTTAGTTTGAGGTGTGTTTGATGGGGTAGGGTATGGGGGGTTAAGGGATTTTTTGGTTATTATTTATATTATTTTGGTGGATGGGGGGGGGGTTATTAGATTTGTGTAAGTATGGATAGTTAAATTGAAGGTTTAAGAGTTAGTTATTATGGGAAGGGTGGTTAGTTGTTAAGAGGGGGGTTTGGATTTAGGGGGTTTTTAAAGGATAAATTGGTTTGTGAGGGGGGGGGTTGTGTTTGGGGGGTTAGGGTGGGGGGGATATGGGTGGGGGGATATAGTAGTGAATAGGGAAAATGAAGAGGGATAGGGGGTGTGGGGGTAATAAAAGTGTAAGGTTGGGTTGTTGTTTTATGTGTGGGGAGGGTGTGGAATTTGTAATGTAGATATTATTATTATTATTAGGTGGTGGTGTTTTGTTGTGTGGGGTGGGGGGTATTGTTTGTATAGGATTATGATGGTGGATGGATAAGAGGTATAGTGGGGTTTTATAAGTATGGAATATAGGAAGGGGGATATGGATTAATGAAGGGAATTGGAGGTAATAATAATTATTTATATTTAAGTTTAATGATATATAAATAATGTATATTGAGATTTGTGGGTGGTTGGGGGGGGGTATATTAAATAATGGTGGTATATTTTATAGTAATAAATGTGGAGAAATTAATATGTAGTTAATAAAGGGAATATGTATTATGTGGATATATTTATGAGGGATATATTGTTTTGGGATGGGATGTGGGGAAATTTAGGAAGAGTTGTGGGGGGGAGGTTAAGTGGGTGATAGTTTATTATATATGTTTTGGAAATTGGGTAGATTTTGATTAGTTGTGGAATGTAGAATGTTAGAAATTTCAAATTATTGAGTGATTGAGTGAATAATGGTTTGGGTTGTAGGTATTGTATGAAGTGTTAGTGGGGGGTGATGTTTTTTTTTTTATAATTAATTGAGAGGGGAAAATGTAAATGGGAGTGAAGTGGATTGTATTATGATTATGTAAAGTTTAATGATAAAGATATTAGTATTATAGAATTTAAAAAAAAGTAGTATTATATTTATTTTATAAGTTGTAAGAAAAATTATGGATATTTATATATGAATATTGATAATGGATATAAGTGTAAAACAAAGATTAAATATAAGGGTGAGGTTGTGTAGGGGTTAGGTGATTTTGGAGGGGAAAAATAATAATGGGTAAGGGGGTGAGGGTGATGATGAAAAAATTAGTATGATTAAGGTGTAGAGAGAATGGAAGAGGGTGTTTTTGGTTGGTTTATGTTATGGAGGATAATGGGTGTATGGATATTGGGGGTGTGATATAATGATTTATTTTTTTAGATAATTGTTTTGTTTTGGATTTGGTTTGGAGGTTGTTGGGTAATAAATAGGTTGATTTGGTATGATTTTGTTTGGAGTAAGAGGTTTAATGGAAAGATGGTGAAGAAGGAAATGTTGAAATGTTATGAAGGTTAATTGATTTTGTTTGGGGTGGGGGTTGTATTATAGAAAGTATTAGGGATTTGGTTAAGTGGTGTGGGGATTATGGAGGTTGTTGGTGGATTTGAGAATTGGTTGGTTTATTTATAAGGTGTTAGTATATATGGGGAAAATAGTATTTGTTGTTATATGTGTTTTATATGGTGTGGTTGATAGAAAGAATGATGAGGGGGGGAGGGGTTTGAGAAAGATGATGATAAGTTAAAAAAATTAAAGAAAAGGGTGGGAGGAGTAAGTAGATTTAATTGTTAAGATTGTGAGTGTGGAAGTTGATGGAGTGAAGGTTAAAGAGGGAGATTTATGTTAGAATAAGGAAGGGGGGATTGGGAAGGAAGAAGAGTAGGGTATTGTGGGTATGTTAGGATAGGAATTGGATATAGTAGGGATTTTGTGGTAGGATAAGTGTCAGGGGGGTTGTGAAGTGTGTGAATTTATGGGAGGAGATGAGAGAAAAATAAAGGTGAGGGTAAGGAAGAGGAGATATAAGAATGGGGGTGTGAAAGGTTAGAGGAGATAGAATAGGGGGGGGGAGTGGATTGAATATGTATGTGGGTTATTAGATTTTTAGTGGGGGTTATGGTTGAATTATGTTAAAGGTGAATAGGGAAAATTGGGGTTGGGATGTTTTGGGTTGGGATAAGTAAATTGGGTGGTAGATATGGTAGGGTAATGATTAATATGTAGAGAGGGTTGATAATGTTTTGAAGGGGGGGGGGGGGGGATGGAGATGAGAAGGTGAGAAGGGGTGGGGGGGTAGTTGAAGGAGTTTTAGGATATTGAAAATTTGTGTATGAAGAATTGTTTTGGTTATGGGGTTGGAATTGGGATTGATTGTTGGGGAGGTTAATGTAATGGGGAGTGGATGTTATAGAATAAGTAAGTAGGTAAGTAAAGAGGGGAAAGAAGGGTAATGGTGGGGGATATTGGTGGATGTTTGTTTGGAAAGTAGAGAAAGATAAATAAAAAGGTGTGGGAAGTGGTGGTAGGAAGAAAAGGGAAGTAGTGAAGAGGGGTATTTAGGGAGAGAAGGTTGGGTTATTGGGGTTATGGTTGGTTTTTGTGTGTAGGAAGGGGGTGAAGGAAAGAAGAGGAAGAGGGAGATGGGGGGGGGGGAGGTTTTTTTGTGTTTAGGTTTAAATGTAGTGAGTGGTTTGTGTGTTTTTGTTTTGTTTGTGAAGTGTAATAGGGTGGGGTTAGAGGAGGTAAGAGTAGGGATTTAGGGATATTTGGGTTTAAGAAGTTTAGGTAATGGGTGGAAGTTTATTTGTAGTGGGTTTTTTTGGGTTATAAAAAAGGGAGGGGGGTGTGAGGTGAAGAGGGTGTTAGTTGGAGAATAGGTGGTATTATGTGTTGGTGGAGAAGGGTATGGATTTTTGTGGGGGGGGGGTGAGGGGGTTAAGGTAGTGTGGGGGGTGTGGATTGTTGGGTGTTGGTTTTGTGTTTATTGTTGGGGAAGGTTTGTTGGGTGGTTTTTGTGTTAAGAGGGGTAGAGTGTTGGGTGGGTTGTTGTTGTTGTTTGGTGGGGGGGATGGTTTTTTTTGTTGTTTTTGATAGTTTGTTTTGGGGTGGTGGGTTGTTTATGGTTATTTTTGGTTTTGTGTATTTGTTTGTGGGGGGGGGGTGGTAATTGGGAGTATTTTGGATATTTGGTATTTTTTATTAAAATAGTTATAGGGGGTAAGAATATGGGGTAAGGAATGGAAAGTGGGGAGTAGGAAGAAGGAGAATTTAGTTTTTTAGGGGGGGTATGGAAAATGGATGAGATAAAAATGTGAAGGAATTATGGATGGGGGGTTTGGAGGTGGAAGAGGTGGAAGTGGGGGAGGAAGGGGAAATAGGGGAAATTTTTTATTATGATAAAAATATGGTTAAAGGTTATGTTGGATTTAGGATATTTTTAAGGATAGAAAAAATTGAATGTAATATTTTAAATGGGGGGTTTTGAGGGTTTTTAATGGGTGATTTATTGTTTTAGGGGGGGGTAGAAGTATGAGAAATAGTGTTAAGAATTGAGGGGGTTTATGGTGGGTGATAGATTATAAGGAGATTGATTTTTTATTGAATGATATTAGGGGGGTGTTGGGTATTGGTTTGATGGGTGGTTTTAGTAAAAGGAGGGATATAAATAGTAGGTTATGATAAATAGGATAAGGTTAAGGTGAGAATTATGATAAATAGATGATTGAAATGGAATATGTAAATGTATTAAAATTAAATAAAAATATGAAATATAAAGAAGGAAGGAGGGGAAAATATGATAAAAGGAGAGAGGAAAAGATATTTTGTATGGGGGGGGGGGAAATTAAAATGAAAATTATTAAAATGTAAAGTTTAAGAAGGATAATTAAGATGATAGGGGGAAAAAAAAGAAAGAGATATGAAGAGAGAAAAATAGAGATTATGGGGAGAAATTATTATTGGTTATTAAATGAGTAATTTATGGGTGAAAGTGGTTTGGTAAGAAAGGGTTTGTTATGGGTAGGGGGTTGGTGGTGGGTGTTATAGTGAGTGGTGTGGGGGTTAGTTAAGGGGAGGGGGGAAAGGTTGGAGAAAGGTGGAGGATATTGGGAAGAAAAAAAAATTGGGTTTGGGGGAGGGGTTTATTGTGGTTGGGTTTTGGGTGGGGAGGATTTGAAATTGTGGGATGTTAAAATGAATAATTTTTGGGGGTTAATTGTAGATTGGGGTGTATAGAGAGGGGGGGTATTAAATTTTTTGGGTTATGTGTGGGTTGTGAATAAGTTATTGGATGAAGGGGGTGGTGGAGGGGTTGGAGATAGTGGTGGTGATATGGTATATTGGAGGTATTTGGTTGTTGTGTGTTTTTTAAAGGGGGGTGGGGTTATGTATATTGTTATTTAAAGAGTATTGGGGTAAAGTTGGGGGGTGTGGGGGAGTTGGTATGGGTGGGTAAATTATAATTAATGATTATGATTATATATTATTAATAAAAGAGAATGGAAATGGTAAGTGGGAAGGTTAGGAGTTGTAATAGGGGGGATAGGGGAGGAGAAGTAAAGTAGGGGGGGGGTTATGATAGGGGGGGGGTGTATGAGGTTAAGAGGGTTTAAGGGTTTGGAGGTCTGAGTTAAAAGGTTTGAGATATGGGGTGATATGAAGTTATTATAGAATATTGGGGGGGGTAAGGAAAAAGGGGTGGGGTTGTATTGTGGGGTTATGTTAGGTGGTGGAGGGGGATGGGGGAGAAAGGTTTTTATTTTTGATGTTTTTATTTTGAGGATAAAATGGTTTTTTTGTTGTATTTTTTTTATTTGATGGATGTTAGTTTGTGTTTTTGTTTTATTATTGATTAGTATTTTGTGTGTTTTTATTGAATATTTATTTAATGGTATATTGGTTTTTATGTTTTATTTGTAGGGGATTTGATTTGATAATGTTATTTTTGTTAATTTTTGAAGGGGGATTAATGAGTATAATGGGGTTTTTTTTTAATTAAAATATTAAAAGAGGTGTGGGGGATGATAGGATATTTGTTTGTATTGATTTGTTTATTGGGTGAATTAAATAGTTAGGGGGTTATATTGATTGGGGGGAGAAATTTTTATAGTATGGGGGAAGGTGGTGTGGGAGTGTGAGGGGGGTGTTTGGGGGAGAAGATGTGGAATAATATGGAGGGGGTGTGAAGGAAAAAATAGAATGGGGGGGTTGTATTTGTTGGTAGATGTTTTTGGTGTGTGAGGGTTTTAAGGGGTGGTTGGGAGAAGAGTAGTGGGAGGGAAAAGGATGAAGGAATTGAGGAGGGGGGTTAAAAAGGAGTTGCTTGATTGGGTGGGTGTGGGTTTGGTGGGGTTATTAGTATTAAGGTTGAATTAGGTAATGGGGGGTTGATTTTTTGTTTTTTAGGGGGGGTTGGTAAATGATATTGAAGGGTTGATATATTTGGGGGTGTTTGGTAATTATGGGGTGTGGGGGTTAATATGATATTTAGGAGAGGGTTTGTGGGGTTTAGTGATGTTAGTTTGTGGATTGGATTTTTGGGTAGGGGGTGGGGTGAGTAGTGTAGTGAGAGAGGGTGTATGTTAATATATTTGAGGGGTTTATAAAGTTTATAAGAGAATAGAGGGGGATTAATATTTGGGGTGATAGTGATGTGGTAATGTATTGAAGGAGGGATGTTGGGGTGTAATGATAAGAGATTAAGTTTTGATATTGGGTGGGTAAAATGGTGGAATGGGTTGGTAATTAAAGTTGGTTTAAGGTATGGAGAAAGAGGGGAGATGTAGATGGTGTATTGGTTTGTTAGAAATGGTGGGATTGGTGTTAATGAGGGTATAGAATGGAGAAGGTGGTATTTAATGTGGAATTTGATTGATAGTGGTTTAGATGGGGTTAAGTTTGAGGGTGGGTTGTTTTATGAGAATAGGTTAATGTATTTTTAGGGGTGGGGTGATGAGAAGTGAAATTTGGGTGTTTAGGGGTGATTTTAGAATATATATTAGAGGGGTTGAATTATTATATTGGTTTTTGATAGTTTGAGGGGGTAAGGGTAAGGGTAGGGGTGGAAGATATGATATGTTTTGATATTTTTTGTGGGGGGTGATGAGTTGTTATGAGAATTGGAAAAAAATGGAAGATATAGGATTATAGTTAGAAGGATGATGATGGGTGATAATGAGGATGGGGGGTATTAGGTGGGGGAAAGGATAGAGGAGGAAATTTTTGTTATGGATTGAGGTTTGGTATAATTTAGAAAGATTAGGAAGGTAGTTGTAATGGAGGTAATATGGTATTAAAGGGGGTTTTGAGGGGGGAGGGGATTGAGAAAAAGGGGGGGATTTGAGTGGGGTTGGGAGGGTTGGGGGGGGTTTGGGAGGTTGGAGGGGGGATAGTGTGAGGGATGTGGGTGGGGTGAAGTTGTTAAGGAAAAAAAGAGGGAAGAAGAAGGAATGTAGAAGTTAATGTAAAATTTGGGGATGTATATATAGATAAGATGAGGGGAATATAGTAAAAAAGAGAGGGTTATGAGAAGGTTAGATGAAGATGTTTAGGGATGTGGTGGTTTTTTGAATTGTAATAAGGGTTGTTAGGGGTGGTGGGGGGTGGTGGAATGGAGTGTTGAGGGGTGGTGGGGTGGTGGGTGGTGTTGGATTTGAGTGTTGATGGGTTGGGGGAAGGGGTGGAGATATTGGGGTGGGGTGTTAGGTGGTGTGGGGGGGTGGGTAAATGGGGGAAGGAAGATGTGGTAAAAGATAATATGGGGGAGGGGTGTGGATATTTTTTTTAATTGGGGGGGGGGGGGTGTGGGGGGGAGGGGGGGGGGGGGGGGGAAGGTAGTGGGGGTTGGTGTTGTGGTTGGGTATTTGGTGTTGAGTGTGTGTTTGGGTTTTTGTTGGGTGTTAGGGGGGATGAGGGTGGTGGTTTTTGTTGTGTTTGATGAGGGGGGGGGGTGGGGGGGGGTTTGGGGGGGGGGGGGGGGGGGGGGGGGGGGGGGGGGGGGGGGGTGTTAGGGGGGGGGAGGGGGGGTGGGGGATGGGGGGGGGTGGGATGGTTTGGTGGGGGGGGGGGTTTTTGTGGGGGTTTTGGGGGGGGTTGTGGGGGTGGGTGTGTTGGGTGTTTGTTTTGGGGGGGTGGGGGGTGATAGGGAGGTGGATGTTAATGGGGTATGAAAGGTGGGATTGGTGGGTGGGGGGTTTTTTATAGGGGAGGGGAGGGGAAAAGGATTGTTGAGGGAATTGGGGTTGTAGTGATGAAGGATGTGTGGGGTAGGTAATATTTGAGGAGTAAGTTTGGTTTATTTTTTTGGGGGTTAGAATGTATGATTTTGGGGAGAGGGGGGGGGGGGGTGGGGGGGTTGGGGGGGGGGGAGGTTAGGGAAGGGAATGGAAAGGTGTGTTTTTTTGATGGTATGGATGGATTGGGATGGGTTGTGGTGATTCTGTATAGTTGGTTGTTTGTGGTGTTTGGTGTTTTTGGTTTGTTGGTTGGAGGTTGTGTTGGGTGGTTGTGGTTGTGTGGTTTTGTTATTTGTTAATGGGGGGATTGTAATTTGGGGTGGGGGTTTTGGTGTTATTGTTGTTGGGGGGTGTGTTGTGTTTGGTTTGGTGTTGTTGTTGTTGTTGTTTGTTTTGTGGGGGGGGGGGAATTGAGTGGTGTGTTTTTTTAATGGGGGAGGTAGTGTGGGTTTGGGGTGTTTTATTGGATTGTTGTAAAGAGGAAGGAGAAAGAAGAATAGAGTAAGTGAAAATGGAAAAGGTATATGTGGAGGGTGGGGGATAGTTATAATATTGTTTTGTGTGTGTGTTGGGTTTAGGGGGAGTTTGTGGTTGGGAGGAAAAGTTATATTTGGTAAAGGAGAGTGGTTTAGTGAGGTTTTAGGGGATGATGGGGGCGGAGGATGGGTGAAAATGGTTTGTGGGAGGGAAAGGGGTAAGATGGGGAATAAATGGAAGGGTTAGGGGTGGGGGATTGAAAGAGGAGAGGATGAAGGGAAGAGGGGTGATAAATATTGAATTAGGATGAGTTTGGAGTTCATGGGGTTAAGGGGTTGAGGAGGGGATTTGGGTAGGGAAATTTGAAATTATTATGGTGAGAGGGTGGAGAGGGGGGGGGTGGTAGAAATTTTAGAAGGGGGGGGGGTAAGGAGAATAGTGGAAAAAGGGTGGGGGAGAAGGGGGGGTGATGAAAAAAGAGAGGAAATGAATGTAGGGGTTGGAAAAAGAGGGAATGGTAATGATTAAGGAGGAATTGATGTTGAGGGTTGGGGGGGGTAATGGGAGAGAGTAAGTAGATTAGTGATGTTTATTGTGGGTATAAGGAATAAGGGGGAGGAGAAAGGAGGTTTATAAGGGTAGTTGGGGGGAGAGAAGTGTTTGAGTTTAATGGTTTGGGTATTTGGTTTAGTTGGGGGGGGGTGAAAAGGATAATGGGTTTTGTTGATTGTAAGATGGGGTATTTTGGGATTTGAGTGGTTATGGTATTATATGGGTATTGGGTGATAAGGGTGAAGGTGGGGAGTGATGAGAAGGAAAGAAGAATGAAAATAGATGATTATAGGGATGGGGTTGTATTTATAAAGATGGATAGAAAGAGGGAAGGGTGGGAAGAGGATGGGGGGGGGGAATTATGTTGGTTGGGGGGGTTGGGGTGGTTTTTTGGTTGGGGGGTTGAATGGGATGAAGGGGTGGAGTTTGTTGTTAGGTGGGGGTGGTGATGGGTTTGGTTTGAAAGGAAGTTGATGGGGGGGGTAGGTTTTGTGGGTTTATTAATGTAGGTTAGGTTGGTTTTTATGAGGGTGTAGTTTGGGGGGGGGGGGGGGGGTGGGGGGGTTAGGGGGGGTGTGGGGGAGGTTTTTGTTGGTTGTTTTGTTGGTTTTTTTTGTTGTATGTGTGAATGTATTTGTAGTTTGGGGGGGGTGTGTGTTGATTTTTTTTTTATTTTTTTTTTTTTTATTTTTTTGGGGGGGGGGGGGGTGGTTGTTGGGGGGTGTTGGGTGTGGGATTAGGGGGGTGTTTTTTGGGGGGGTGATGTTTGGGGTATGTTGTTGTGAGTTGTGTTCTTGGGTTGTTGGTTATGTTTTTTTTTTTGTGGTTTGGGTTGGGGGTGGGTGGGGTGGAAGGGGGTGGGGGATGTGGGTTTTGGGTTTTTGTGTTGTGTTTTTTGTTGTGGTTTTTGATGGGTATTTTTGTGTTTTTTTTTGGTAGGTTGTGGTTTAGGTATGTGGGTTGTTGGTTTTTTTTTGGGGGATGGGTGTATTTTTTTTTGGTGGGTGGGTTGGGGGTGTGTGGGGGGTGTTTTGGGTTGGGTGTGTTGTGTTGGTTGTTGGTGTGGGGGTTTTGTGGTATTTGGGGGGGGGTGTAGTTTTGTGTTTGGTGTGGGGTTGGGGGGTTTGTTTTTGTGGTGGTTTGGTGTTTATGGGTGGGTGTTTTTGATGTGTGTGGGTTTTTGGTTGTTGTTTATTGTTTGTGGGGGGTGTTTGTGTTTTTGTGGGGGGGAATAGGTGATGTATAGGGTTGTTTTTAGTGGTTTTGGGTATGGATTATTATTGGGTGGTGAGTGTGGGATTGGTATATGATGGTGGGTTAGAGGGTGGATTAGAAGAAAAAAAAAAGGAAAATAAAATAAAAAAAAAGAAAAAAAAAAAAAAAAAAAAGAAAAAAGAAAAAAAAAAGAAAAAATAGATGGGGTTGGATATGGTTTGGGTTGGTGGGGGGGAGGATTGTTGTAGGGGGTGGGGAATTATGTTTGGAGGGGGTTTGTTTTGGGGGGTTTTTTTTAGAATTTGGTGGGGTGGTTTTGGATGGGAGTTGTGTTTTTGTTTGTGTGGGTGGGGGGTGGTGGGGGTGTGAGTGGGTGGGTGGGGTGTGGGTTTTGTGGGTTTGTGTGTGTTGTGGGTGGTGGGGTTGGGGTGGGTTTTGGTTGGGGTGGTTGGGGGGGGGTGGTTTGTTGAGTTGGTGTGGGGGTTTTTTGTTTTGTGGGTTTGTTTTTTTGGGTTTTTGGGTTTTGTGTTATTTGGTTTTGTTTTTTAGGTTGGGGTTGTTGGGGGGTTTTTGTTTAGTTTGGGTTTTGGTGTTTTTGGGGGGGTTGGGGGGGTGGTTTTTGTGTGGGGGTTTGGGTTTTTTTTGGGGTTGGGTGTGATTTTTTGTGTTGGGGGGGGGTGGGGGTTGTGGGGTGTTTTTTGTGTGGGTTGTGTTTTATTGTGTTGTTTTTGTGAGTGGTTGGTTTGTAAGAATGTGTGTTGTTTTAGTGGTGTGTTTGTTGAGTTGTTTATGTTGTTGTTTTTGTGGTGGAGTTTGGAATGTGTTTTATTTGTGTTGTAATGAGTGGGATAGGTGGTATGTTTGATTTTATTGTTGTTTGTGTGTGTGGGTATAGATTTGGTGTATTTTTGTAGTAGATAAATGTGTAGTGAGGTTTAGTTTTTTGTTTGGAGTAGAATAAGAGGGAAGGGTTAGTTTGATTGGGAGTGGTAGGTAGTGGGGGGGTAGGGGGTTTTGGTGATGGTTGGTTGGGGGGGGGAGGTAGGAGGGTATAAGGATGGGAGTAGTATGATGTTGTGGTGAATGGTGGTGTAGTTTGGATTGTATAGGGGAGATTTTTAGTAATGAATGAGTAGGAGGAAGTATTGAGGGGGAGGGATGGAGGGAGGATTATTTGGGGTTGGGGTTGGGTTTTGTATTTTTTTGGTGTTTATTGGGGGAGTGGGGGGGGGGGGGTTATATATTTAAGTTGGAGATTTGATTTAGTAGTTAATTTGTAATAGGGGAAAAGTATTTAGAATGATATGGGTTGGTGGTGTGGTGGGTTGGGTTTTTGTGTTTGTGTTTTTTGTGTTGTTGGGGTGTGGTGTTGGTGGGAAGGTGGGTTAGTGATAGATTTGGGGGGGTAGTTAGTTAATTTGGTAGGATATGAATGGTTTGGGGGGGGTGGATTGGGAATTTTAGGTTGGTTGAAATTGGATTGATGTGGTAATTGTGGGGAGGTTAGAGTGGGGGGGGGGTTAGGTTATGTGATAAGATTGGAGATTTTGAATGGTAGAAATGTATGGGAGGGGTAAAGGGTAATATTAATGATAATATATATGATGATTGAAAAAAGGGGGGGATAAGAAGATAGGAGAGGTGTGGTGGGTTGAAATGGAGGATGAATGTTTTAATGGGTTGGGATAAATTGGTTAAATTTATAAGAAGAAGGAATAGTTAGTATGGTTGAGGGTTATGAGGGTGGGTGTAGGGGTTTGTTATAAGGGGGGGATGGTGGTGAGGATTATGGATGAGATGTATATGATTGTTGGTGTATGGTGGATTTATAAGGTTAAATTAGGGGAGGGGGGGGGGGGGTTTGGGGGAATTTTTAGGGAGGGGGGAATTTTGTTTTTTTTTTATGTTTAGGTGATGGGTATTGAGGGTTTTGTGGTTGTGGGAGGTTATTTGTGTTTATGGGTTGGATTTTGGGGGGGGGGTTAGGGGGGAATGGTTTAGGGGGAAAGGATGTAGGGGGAAGTGATGGGGGGGGTTTTTTTAGGGATTGAGGTGGGGGAGTGTTTGGTGGGGGGTTTGTGTGTTATTTGTAGATATTGGAGGTATGATTTTGTTTATGGGGTATGTTTGTGGTAGGGGAGTGGGTGAGAATAATGATGGGGGGTGGTTGTGGTTTGTTTGGGATGGTAGTATAGTATATATGGGTTTGGAGTTAAAGTTATTTTTGGGGTTGGGTTGTAGTGAGGTTATTGGTTGGTATGGGTGGGGGTGTTTAGGGGTTTTGTTAATTGGGTGGGTGTTGTTGAGAGTGGGTGTGTAAGGATGGGGTGGATGGTGATTGTGTTTTGTTTTGGGGGGGGTATTTGGGGGGGGGGGGGGTTTGGTGTGTTGTATTTTGGTGTATGTTATAATTGTTTGTGGTGTTGAATTTTTGTGGGTTGGGGGGGGGGGGTTGTTTAAGGTGGTAAAGGTGGGTTTTATGTATATTATTGTTTATGATGTATGATAGGTATAAGGTTGGTTTTAAATTAATGAGGGGGAGGGTGTGGGGAGTGGAGTTAATAGTTAATGAGGGAAAAATGGGGGTAGGGTGGGTATTTTGGGAAGGTTTTAAGAAAGAGTGGGAGTAGGGGTGGTTTTTATTTTTGTAGTTTTAATTAGGTGGGGGGGGGGAGTGGGGTTTGGTTTATTGAATGAGGATTTGTAGGGGATTTTGTTGGTTGATTATATTGGGGGTGAAATGTTGGTGGAGGGGTAGGGGTTTGATGGTTTGATTGATTTTTAGAGGTTTGGGGGTGTGAGGTTAGGGTATTGTGTTTTTTTTTTTTTTTGGTTTTTGTATTGTTTGGGTTTGTTTGTATGTGTGTTTTTTGGTTGGATTATTATTGTGTTTGTGGGGGGGTAGGGTGTATTGTGTGTATGGGTTTTGTTGAGAGGGTTGTAAGTGGGTTTTGTGTGTTTGGGTTTTTGTGGTGGGGGAGGGTAGTTGGTGGGGGTTTGGGGATGGGTATGAAATAGTAGGGATAAGATTGGATTTGAGTAAGGGGTGTTTTTGTTGGGGTGGGGGGTGTGGTGTTGGGTTTGTGGGGGATTGTATGTGGGTGGTTGGGGTAGTGTTATTGGAGAGAGTGTTGTTGATATGGTGGGTAGTAATTGTTTTGTAGGGATGGGGTGGTTTGTGGTTTATTATATTTTGGTTTTGGGTTTTTGGTGGGGAGGGGTTTGGTGGGAGTTTTGGTTTTTTGGGTGAGAAGGATAGAGAGATTATTTTTTTTAGTGTTTGTTTTGTTTTGTGGTGGATAGGGGAGTTTGGGTAAGGGAGGTGGGTTTTTTGGTAAGGGGGAATGGGGGGGGGGGGGGGGTGGGTGTTTGTTGAGGGGGTTTTTTTGTTTGTTTTTGTTAGGGGTGTTTTGGTGGTGGTTTGGTGGGGGTTTTTTGGGGTTGTTTTTTTGGTTGGGTTTGTGGGTAGAGGAGTGGTTGTTGTTTGGTTGTTTGGTTTTTTTGGTTTGGGGAGGAGTTGTGTTGTGGGTTTATGTATTGTTTTTTGTTTTGGTTTTTGGTTGTTGTTTTGTTTTTATTGAGGGGGGGGTTTGTAGAGTGGTTTTTGTGGTGTTGTGGTTATTGGTGTTTTTGGGGTTTTTGTTTGGTTTTTTTGGTTTAGTGGGGGGTGTTTTGGGAAGTGAGGGTGGGTGGGGTGTTTGGGGGGGGTTGGTGGGGGTGGTGGGGGGGTGTGGTTTGTTTGGGTTTTGGTAAGGGGGGGTGTGGTTTGGGGGTTTGAAAATTTTTGTTGTTGGTGTTTTTGGGGTGGTGTGTTGGGGGGGTTTTTTGGGTGGTTTTTGTGGGGAGTTGGGGTAGTATTTTTGTTGGGGGGGGAAGAGAGTGGGGGGGGGAGAGTTGATAAGGAGTTGTTGGTGGGGGATATGGTATGGGAGATTGATATGATTGGGAGAATAGGAGGGAGGTGGGGTTATGAGAAGGATGAATATTTTGTAGGGGTTATGAATAATGGTGGGTGGTGGGGAAGAAAAAGGAAGGGGTGGGAAGTATAGGGGTTATTAAGGGAATAGTAATTGTTTTTTTTGATATTGTGTGGATGGGAGAAGATGGTGAGAGAATAGGGGGGGAGGGGGAGGGGGGGTTGGGTGTTATTTGAAATTTTGTTTTTTTATGGGGGGGGTTTTTTGGTGGGGGGTTGTAGTGGTGTAGGTTGTGGGGGTTTTTGGTGGTGTTTGTTGGGTGGTGAGTAGTATTGGGGTTTAGGTTTTGGGGGGAATGTGTATTGTTTTGGTAGGTAGGGAGTTGTGGTGAATGGGTATTTGGTATAGGTGGGGGGGTTTTGAGAAGAAGGTGGGGATAGTGGTTAAAGTTATTGGTGGTTTTGTGGATTGATTAATAGGTGGGATTTGTGGTTTTAGGGTATTTGAGGTGGTTTTAGGGTGGGTTGGTTGTTGGGGGGAGGGTAGTGGGGTGTGTGGGTTTTTTAGTTGGGGGTAATGGGTTTTTAGGGTTATGGAATGGGGGGGGTTAATAGGGGTTATAATGTATTAATGAGGGTAGTATAATATGGGATTTTTATAAGGGGGGTTTTAGTTTTGGTATGTGAGAGTATATGTTATGAGGTGTTTAGGGTATGGGGTTAGGGGGTGGGGGTGGGGTGGGGGGTTTTTTTTTTTTGGGGGGGGGGGGGGATATTTTGGGGTTTTTTTGTTTTTTTGTGGGGGTATTGGGGATGTGGTGTTTTGAGTGTTGGGGGTGTTGGTTGTGGTTGGGTTTGTTTGGGAGGGGGGAAAGGATGAGATTTTTTGGGTTTTTGGTTGAAGAAAGAGGTGGGTGGGGGGGGGGGGGGGGGGTTTTGTGTTTATGGGGTGGGGGGTTTTGTGTGTTGTAGTGTATGTAAAAAGGTGTGGATGTGAGGATGATGGTTGGTGGGGGGGGGAGTGGGGGGTTGGGTTTTTGGTTGATGTGGAGGGGTGTGGGGATTTTGTGTGTGGGGGGATGGGATTTTTGAAGGATGTTTTAGAGAAGTGTGGGTGGGGGGTGGTTGGTTGGGGGGGGGGGGGGATTGGGGGGTTGTTATTTTTGGGTTGTGGGATTGAAGGGGGAGGTGTGTGGATTATTAGTGGGATTTGGGGATTGAGTTTGTTGGTGTTGTGTTTTTGTGGAATTTGGGAATGGGTAGTAGGGGGGTGTGGATGGGTTAAAGGAGTGTTTTAGTATGGGTTGAGAGTGATATGGGGGAGATGGGGGGTTTGAGGGGTTGGGTAAGTTTGGGGGGGGGATTTAAAAATAGTTAATAATTAAGGGGTGGTGTGGGGGGGAAGGGGGGATTGTATAGGTTTTTTTGGGTTGTTTTTGTGGGGTTTTTTTTGGGTTGTGTTGTGGGGGGTGTGGGGTGGTGTTTGGGGGTGGTTGGGGGTTGGGGGGGGGGGTTGTGGGGTGGTTTTTTGGTTTTGGTTGGTTTTGGTTGTGTTTTGGTGTGTTGGGGGTTGGTTGTGTTGGTTTGGGGTGTGTTGTTTTTGTGGTGTTTTGGGTTTTTGGGGGGTGTTTGTGGGTTGGGTGTTTTGGGGGTGTTGGGTGTTTGTGTGGGGTTTTTGTGATATGATTGTGGTGTTTGTGGGGTTTTATGTTTTTTGAAATTGAATTTGTTAAGAGGGTATGTATGATATTTGATGTGGTGGTATGGGGGGGGGGGGGGGGGGGGGGGGGGGGGGGGTGATTAGTGGATATGATGATGTGGGGTGTAAGAGGGGGTGAGGGTATGATATGATGAGGTGGGGGGGGGGTAAGGGGGGTTTTTTGAGGGTGTTATTAGTTGGTTTTTGGTTATTATAGGGGGTGGGGGGGGTGATTGGTTTGATGGGGGTATTGGTTTTTTTGGTTTAGTGGGTGTTGGTTATTTTTAATGTGGTGGGATTGGGGGGTGGAGTGGGATTTGTGAGGGGGTATTGGAGAGTTGGGATTGGAGAGTGGGGTATTGGATATAAGGGGGGGGGAAGGGGATGTGTAGTGGGGAGGAGAGTTATATGAGGGGAGGAAGGTGGGAAGTGTTTTATATTTAGAGATGTATGGGGGGGGAGTTAAGGTTTATGGATATATATGGGGAAAGATGGAATATGAGGATGTGAGGAATTGGGTAAGAAGATAATGAATTGATGAGATATTGAATGTAATGATTTGTAGTAGAAATAGAGGAGTGTGGGGGGAAATATGTTAATAGATATTTAATTTATAATGGGGTTGTGTAGAGATATTATGGGGTTGGGGATTTTTTGGATGGGGGTTATTTATTATAGGTTGTGGTTGTTAAAAGAGTATTAGTGGTTGGGTTGTTTATTTTGTGATAGGTTTTTTAGGAATTGTAAGGGTGGGGGGAGAAGGAAGAGGAGAAAGATTTGAGGGGGAGGGGGTATGAGGTAAAATAAAGATGAGAGAATGAGAGGGGGTGAAAGGGGTTTGGTGATGGTTATTTTGGGGGGTGTGGGTTATGTTGGTATTGGAAGGGGGGGATATGTTTGGGAGTTGTTTGTTGGGGGGGGTGTTGGATGTTTGTGGGGGTTGATGGGTTGAGGGTTATATGGGTGTGGGGTGTTTTATTTTTGGGGGGTTTGGGTATTTTTTGGGTGGTTGGGGTTGGTGGGGGTAAGTTTGATTTGTTATTGGTGGGGGTGAGGGGGGTTTGATTGGTTTTGGGTGGGTGTGTTGTTTTTTGGGGGGGTTTTGTTTTAGGTGTGGGTGGGTGGTTTGGGGGTTGGGGGGGTGGGGGTTTTGGGGGGGTTTGTTGGGGGGGGTTTGGGGGGGGTGGGGTGGTTGTGTTTGGGTGGTGGTGGTGTTGGGGGTTGTTTGGGGGGGTGGGTGGGTTTGGTGGTGGGGTTTTTTGTGTTGTTGGTTATTGGGGTGTGTTTTTTTGGTTTTGTGTGTGTTTTTTTGTTGTTTTTTGTGTGTTGGTGTTTTGTTTTTGATTAGTGGGTTTTTGTTTGTGTTGGTGGTGGTTTGGTGGGGGTTGGGAGGGTGGGGGGTTTGGGTTATGGGGTTTGTTGGTGTTTTTGTTTTTTTTTTGTGTGTGTGTGTTGGGTGGTTGTTTGTGTGGGTTGTGGTTTTAGGTGGTTTTTTTTTGGTGGGTTGGTGTTTTTGTTTTTGTGGGGATGGGTTTTTTTGTTTTTGATTTTGGTTTTATGAATGGTGTTTGAAGTGGTTAATGTTTGTGTTGTGTTTGGTTATTGTATTGTTTTTTGGTAGGGAAGATGAAATAGTAGTTTTTGTTTTTTTTTTTTGGGTGTGGGGTGTTTTTTTTGTTTAGGGTTGGTGGGTTTTTTGGGTTTGTTTGGTAGATTTGGTGTATGGTTTTGGGTTGGGGTTGTGTGGTGGGGTGTTGGTTTTGTTTTTTTGGGTGTGTGTTGTGTGTTTGGGGTTGGGTAGTTTTTGGTGGGAATTAGGGAGTAGTTTGTTGTTGATGGTTGTTGTTTATTAGGAGGAAAAGGTTTGTTTGGAAATTAATATAGGGTGGGGGGGGTTTAGAAGGGTGTTGTGTAAGGGTAGATGTGTTGTATGGGGATAAAGATTTGATGGAGAGGAGTAGTTGGGGGTTAGGTTATAGTATTGTTTAGGTTGTGAAGGTATTTTTGTGGAGGGTTTTAAATTGTTAATGTTTTGTATGTTTTGTTTAGGATTATTTTGGTGAGTAATTTTTTGTTTTTTAGTGAGAATGGGTTGGTGGGTGTTGGTGTTATGGGGGTTTTTGTGGTTTGTAGGGGTGATTTGGTATTTTGTTTGGGTGGGTGGGGGGGGTTGTTAATTGGTTTGTTTAGTTAAAGGTGGGTTGTGGGGGGGTATTTTTAAGGAATTAAGGTGGGGGTTTTAGTGGGGTTTTGATTTTGTGATTGGGTTAATTGGTTGTTGTTTTTTTGGTGGGATTATGGTTGGTTTGGGATATTTTTGTTGTTGGGGTGTTTTTTTGGATATGGAGGTTTTTTTTGAATATTGTTGGATTTGTATTGGAGTGGGTAATGGGGGTATTTTGATTAGGATTGTGTAATTGGAAGGTGTGTGGGGGGTATGGGTTAAGATGTAGGTGTATGTAGGGAGGGAGGGGTTTTTTAGTATTGATTTTATTTGGAATAGGGGGGGATAGTTTATGTGGTGGGGAATAATTTTGAAGAGGGAGGTGGTTGGAATGAGTGAAGTGTAAAATGGTGTAGGGTTGGTGGTGTGAAAAATAGGGGTTTAATTGGTGTTATGGTTGAGGGGTATTTGTTTTTGGTGTGGGATTAATAATGGATTAGGAAAGGGGGAAAAATGATAGTAAAGAGATTGGGAAATAAAATTATATAATTGTGATTGTATTATTATTAGGTGGTGGTTGGGGTGTGTGTTGTGGTGTTTGGTGGGTGGGTGTAGGGTTAAGGGTGTTGATGTGTTTGTTGGGGGTTGTTTTTTATGTTGGGGGGTGTGGTTAGTTTTGTTGGGTTTTTTGTTTGGTTTATTTTTTTTTGTTTTTTGATAGGGTTGGATGTTGGGGTGTGGGGTGGGTTTGGTGGGGGGGATGGTTTTTTTTGGTGTTGAGTTTGTTGGTTTTTTTGATTTTGGTGGGTTGATTTTTGGTTTATGTGGATTGGTTTTGTTGTTGTTGGATGTTTTGGTTTTAGTGTTGTTGTTGTTGGTGTTGATGGGTTTGGGGGTGGGGGTTAGGAGGGATGTTTGTTGGGTTTATATTTGGTGGGTTTTGGGGGGGGGGTTTTTTTTGTTAGAAGGAAATTTAAAAGAAAATGTAATAAATTATTTTATTTAAATTTAATTATTGTATTTTTATATATATAGAAGATGGTTATAATGTATATATATATATATATATAGATATATATATATATATATATATATATATATATAATGGTTTTATTGTTTTTATGGGTGTGTTAGGATGGGGATTGGATTAATGAGGTTTTTGAGGATGAATTTAGAGATAATTGATGTGGTGAAGAAAGTGAATATGGGTATTATATGGTAAATGTGGTGTATGGTTAAGTGGAAAATGAAAAATAATAAATATGGGAAGGGTAAAAAATGAATATAAGGGGGGTAATGGGGGTGGGGGGGGGGGGGGGGGGGGGGGGGGGGGGGGGGGGGGGGGGGGGGTTGTTTTTTTGTTGTTGTGTTTTTGTTTAGGATAAGTGGATGTAGGGATAAGAATTGGGTTAATAAAGGGTAATATAATAAAAATAAAATAAAGTTTTTAAATTTAAATATTTTTAAGTATAATAAGGAAAAAAAAATTATTGAATTTTTGGATTTATTTTTAAGTTTTAGAATTTAAAAAGATATTTTTTGTTGGTTTTTTTATTAATAATAAAAAGATAAATATTTTGTGGAGGTATTGTGTATAATGTGTGTATTTAGTTAGTAGTAATTGAGAAAGGTATCCTCAGGACAGACAGGGTCCAGAGTCTGGGAGTAGTGACTGAAAGATGCCTCGAGCGTAGTGGTGGTGCCTGACTTTTGTGATGGTTTGATCTGGCTGCCGGAGGAGCGCAGGGGCCGGAAGGTTCATAATATAATGCAAATCTGAAAGTATGATGGCCCAAGACCATTAAGACATTAAAAACCATTAAAAGGAACCTTAAAATCATTCTGAACACACGGGAGCCATGCAGCATTTTAAAACCAGTTGTAATTGTGGTCCCGCCCCCCCTGATCTTAGTCAGGACACGGTGCGGCCGAGTTTTTGAAATAATTTGGGGGAAGACTTGCAATGTTTACTTTGGGAAAACCAGAGAAGCAGGTCAATACAGTAGTCCATGCGACTGGTGATAAAAGCATGCATCACGTCTCCGTGGTTTGCCCCGAGAGAGAATGCGGACTCTGGCGAAGTTCTTTAGGATGATAAAAACCAATTATTGTGATACTCCTTGAATGTGAGGAATAAAAAGTCAGCTCAAGAGTCAAAGATTACCCCAGATTTTCACTTGTATAAGGATTAAAAGAGTGTGATGGATTTTGATTAAAAGTTTCTCTCTCTGCCTCAGACCGATGACTAAAACCTCAGTATTGTCCAGGTTAAGCTGAGAAAGTTTTCTTGCCAACCTAATTTCAGGTCTAAAAATTGCATTAAAAAAACATCCATTGCCTGGTTCCATCAGGAGACATGGAGATGGACGCGAGCTGTGTATTCATCTGCAAATCTGTTGTTACGGCTTGGCGATAGGACCCAATAAACAGACTAAAACAGAAATACAAAAATGAAATGTTTATTGCGTTGTTCCGGAGGTGATTAGGAAGGGCTGCCACTACTCCTAGCCCAGGAGCTAGGAACACAGGAGACAAAAAGGTGAGTATACAAAAAGGGGTAGTATCAAAAGTATATCAAAAGTAGCCGACTGAAAAATCACCGTGATTGAGACGAAACAATCTGGCAGAGTCTGTCTGGAGAGCTGGCTGGATGTAGGCTGCTTGATTGTTGAAGTGAGAGCAGGTGAGCAGCTCCAGACTCCACCCAGGTCCACACGCACACACACACACACACACACACACACACACACACACACACACACACACACACAGGGAGGAGCAAGAGGCTGTGAAGACTAGTGACAGATGGGGGCGTGACAGTACCCCCCCCCTAGGAGACGTCACCCGACGTCCGGCCAGGCTTGTCAGGGAACGACAAATAAAAATCCCGGAGGAGAGCCGCATCCAGGATGAAATGCCGAGGCACCCAGGACCTCTCCTCTGGACCATACCCCTCCCAGTCCACAAGATACTGGTGGCCCCTCCCACGACGCCGGACATCCAGGACACGCCAGACAGTGAAGGCGGGGTGGTCGTCAATGACACGGGCGGGAGGAAGGGGATCGGCCGGAGGGCAGAGAGGACTAGAAACTACGGGCCTCAACAGGGATACATGGAAAGAGGGGTGAATGTTCATAGACTTCGGCAAGTTCAGACGCACAACTGAGGGATTGATAATCTTATCAATGGTGAAGGGGCCTAAAAACTTAGGTGCCAACTTGCGGGACTCGACCTGAAGGGGTAGATCCTTAGAGGAGAGCCACACTTTCTGTCCCGGCTGGTAGGAAGGCGAAGCCACACGGTGGCGGTTGGCAATCTCCTGATTGCGGATACCTGTGCGTCGGAGAGCCGCCCTGGTCACCCTCCAGATCCTGCGGCAGCGACGCAGATGGAACTGAACCGAGGGCACGGCAACTTCAGTCTCCTGGTCAGGGAAAAGAGGGGGCTGAAAACCCAAGGAGACCATAAAAGGGGACATACCCGTGGCAGACGTCACCAAGGAGTTATGGGCGTACTCCACCCAGGGCAAAAACGAGCTCCAAGTAGTTGGATTTCGGGCAGTCACACATCGCAACGCAGATTCCAGGTCCTGGTTAGCCCTTTCCGTCTGCCCGTTGGATTGAGGGTGATAACCAGAGGAAAGGCTGACCGAAGCCCCGAGGGATTGACAAAAAGCCTTCCAGACCTGGGAGGAAAACTGAGGTCCCCGGTCAGAGACTATGTCCATGGGGATACCATGAAGACGAAACACATGCTGCACCAGTATCTTAGCAGTTTCCAACGACGAAGGTAATTTGGGTAGGGGAAGAAAATGCACAGCCTTAGAAAAACGATCCACAATAGTCAGAATAGTGGTATTACCGTCTGATGTGGGGAGGCCAGTGACAAAATCCACCGCAATATGTGACCAAGGCCGGCTGGGGATAGGTAGTGGACGGAGGAGACCGGCAGAGGGCCGATGACTGGACTTGCTGCGGTTACAAACGGTACAAGCAGAAACAAATGCACGTGTGTCACGAGACATAGAGGGCCACCAAAATCTCTGTCTGAGGAATGCCAGCGTCCAATGACTCCCAGGATGACAGGTTAATTTAGATGAGTGCCCCCACTGGAGCACCTGGGAGCGAACAGAATCTGGTACAAATAAGCGATTGGGAGGGCCACTACCAGGGTCAGGACTGGTGCGCTGGGCCGCCTTCACTACCCTCTCAATTTCCCACCCCACAGCACCAAGGAGCAAGGCCGAAGCACAGGACTTAGCTTCATTGTCAGCACTAATATTGAGACAAGAGGGAGGAAGGACGGGACCCGGTTGAGAATCCAGCTCCCCCTGAATGGACTGACGGGACAGAGCATCAGGTTTTATATTACGGGGACCCTGGACGAAAGGTCAAAACAAAATTAAACCTCCCCAAAAACAGCGCCCATCTTGCCTGGCGGGAGTTCAGTCTTTTGGCTGAATGGAGGTAGGAAAGATTCTTGTGGTCAGTCCACACGATGAACGGATGCTCAGCTCCTTCCAACCAGTGGCGCCATTCTTGCAGGGCCAAGACAACAGCCAGTAGTTCCCGGTTACCAACATCATAATTGGCCTCAGCGGATGTCAACCTGCGTGAGAAATAAGCACAGGGATGTACCTTTTCATCTTTGGGACAACGCTGGGAAAGGACAGCACCCACTCCGGAATCAGAGGCATCGACTTCAACAATGAACTGTCTGGAAGGATCTGGGTGAGATAGAACTGGGGCTGTAACAAAAAGTTTTTAGTTTGGAGAAGGAGGCGTCAGCATCACCGGACCACTGGAAGGGCAACAATGTGGAGGTCAACAGAGTTAGTGGGGCTGCTTTTCTACTGTAATCCTTGATGAATCTCCTGTAGAAATTGGCAAATCCCAAAAAACGCTGGAGTTGCTTTCGTGTCTCAGGTCTAGGCCACTCAGCCACAGCTCTTACTTTAGCCGGATCCGGTTTTAGGTGTCCCTGCTCAATGACAAACCCAAGAAAGTTTACTGAGGCAGCGTGGAATTCACATTTCTCCGCCTTCACAAATAGTCTGTTTTCAAGCAGTCTTTGAAGGACCAACCTGACGTGTTCTACCTTAGCATTCCTGGAAAATATCAATATATCGTCCAGGTAAACGAATACAAATCGATTGAGCATGTCCCGGAGCACATCATTCACCAGTGCTTGGAAGACCGCTGGAGCATTAGTTAGACCAAACGGCATCACCAGATACTCAAAATGCCCCAAGGGTGTGTTAAATGCTGTCTTCCACTCGTCTCCTTGGCGGACGCGAACTAAATGGTAAGCATTACGGAGGTCTAACTTTGTGAAAACTGTGGCTTGATGTAGAGGCTCGAAAGCAGAATCAATAAGTGGCAGAGGATATTTATTCTTTATGGTGATATCATTTAACCCTCTATAGTCAATGCAGGGCCTTAACGTCTTATTTTTCTTTTCCACGAAGAAAAAACCAGCGCCAACAGGGGAAGAGGAGGGACGGATCAACCCGGAAGTCAGAGAGTCTTTAATATACTGTTCCATAGTCTCCCTCTCAGGACGAGAAAGTTTGTACAAGCGGCTAGTAGGCAAAGGGGCACCCGGAAGTAAATCAATAGCACAATCATAAGGGCGGTGGGGAGGGAGAGACAGTGCCCTTTCTTTACTGAATACTTGTGACAAATCATGGTACACGGAGGGAAACAGCGGTCAGGTCAGTAAGGCTAGGAGGAGTGCCCTTTAAGCCCTCGCAAACAGGTATGGCCGACTTAAGACAATTAGAGTGACAGTGAACACTCCAACTGTTAATTTTATTGGACGGCCAGTCTATTTGGGGATTGTGAAGTTTTAGCCACGGAAGTCCCAAAACTACAGGAGCTAAAGGAGAAGAAATAACCAACAAACGGATCTCTTCCTGGTGATTACCCGAGAGAATGAGGATGACTGGTACAGTAATGTGAGTAATCTTGGCTAGGTGACTTCCATTTAATGCATTAACCTCTCTGGGGCACTCAAGTGGCTCAGTTGGTATGTTGGCTTCCAGTACAATCGTAGAGTCAATAAAATTATCGTCTGCGCCTGAATCGACAAAACAGTGGAGTGAAAGAGACTCACGGGACCAAAACATGGAGGCCTGGAGAAGAAGCCGGTCAGAAGACTGCTGCGGAGAGACAGTTTGGCTCACTAGGATCTCTCCAGTCACAGGTGAGCCTACTCTTTTGGCAGTCGTGGGTATGAAGTGACGTTATGTCCCTCTTGTCCACAGTAGAGGCAGAGACCAGACATCTGACGGCGGCGGCGCTCTGTTTGAGACAGCCGGGTTCGGCCTAGCTGCATAGGCTCCTCAGCATCAGAGGATCTAGAGTTTCGAGAAGGCATAGAAGAAAAACAAGGTGCAGGGGAGGGGGTAGGAGATGATGCGGGAGCATAAAGACCACCAGATGATGGCGGGCGTGACTTTTTCTCCCTGTGTCTTTCTCTGAGTCTATTATCTAGACGTGTGGCCAAAGAGATTAGTTCATCAAGGCTGTTTCATCTCTGGCAGCAAGCTCATCCTTCACGCTGTCTGCCAACCCTCTGAAAAATGCACTTTGTAGGGCGGTGTCATCCCAACCACTCTCATTAGCAAGGATACGGAAGTCTATGGCATATTGGGCAACGGAGGAGGTTCCCTGGTTAAGAGCTAGCATTCTCTTAGCTGCTTCTTTGCCCTTCACTGGGTGGTCAAATAGCTTACGCATTTCATTAGAAAAAACTAAATAGGAGCGAAAAATGTCTGAGTTGCTCTCCCATGCTGCTGTAACCCACTGAGATGCTTTTCCAGTTAATAAACTTATAACAAAGGCAATGCGAGACTTATCTGATGCATAAGTTTGGGGCTGCTGATCGAAAACCAGAGAACACTGGAGGAGGAACCGACCACATGCACCAAGATCCCCCGCATATCGCTCCGGAGTGGGTATGTGAGGTTCACGTTGAGCTGGATGAAGAGCAGTAGGTGGTGGAGCGACTTGAGACTGGGCACCCGGAGACAGCAATGGTGGAGCAGCAGAGGCAGCAGCAGAGAACTGGGAAAAAGCAGTGGTTAGGTTTGAAAGCATGATTCCAATTTGAGTCCTCTGGGCAGCAAAAGTTTGTTGATTGTGAGAAATCTCTTTCAGCTGGGTCTCGTGCTTCCCAAGTAGTTGGCCTTGGCTGGAAACAGCTTGGAACAAAGGGTTGGGTTCCGGTTGCAATGCAGTGTCCACTTCGAACAAATCGTTTGGGTCTGTTGGGTCCATGTTGGCCAGATTGTTCTGTTACGGCTTGGCGATAGGACCCAATAAACAGACTAAAACAGAAATACAAAAATGAAATGTTTATTGCGTTGTTCCGGAGGTGATTAGGAAGGGCTGCCACTAGTCCTAGCCCAGGAGCTAGGAACACAGGAGACAAAAAGGTGAGTATACAAAAAGGGGTAGTATCAACAGTATATCAAAAGTAGCCGACTGAAAAATCACCGTGATTGAGACGAAACAATCTGGCAGAGTCTGTCTGGAGAGCTGGCTGGATGTAGGCTGCTTGATTGTTGAAGTGAGAGCAGGTGAGCAGCTCCAGACTCCACCCAGGTCCACACGCACACACACACACACACAGGGAGGAGCAAGAGGCTGTGAAGACTAGTGACAGATGGGGGCGTGACACATTTTCTATCATACTTCATCTCACTACAATAGTGTAAGGGTCTTGTGAAGGTGACATAAGATGGACAGCCCTCAAACAGTGTGTGCCTGAGGCTGCAGACCCCCAGGGAGAAGACGTCTCTCACCCCCACAGCCTCCAGGTTTAGGTGCTCAGTCTCAACCCATCCTGGTATCACAGTACATGTGTGTGTGTTAGTGTGTATGTGTGTGTGTGTGTGTGTGTGTAGACCTTTGACGAATAAACCTGTCGATTAATGAGGTCAGCAACATGATCCATGAACATGTGATTAGCGGCAGTGTCATTAAACTGAAGGTTTTAAAACATAAATATTGTTAAATACATCAACGGGTTCCTCAGGATTAAGGACATATTGGACAGCAAGTGGAAGCACTCATCCAGTGCAATTTTAAAAACAAAAAAGTCAGTGGATTCTTCAAAATGTGTGACAACAAAAATGACGTTTTTCGGAATAACAGGACTGTGTTACAGTTGAAATGGGAACAGGTGTTTATAATGATGTCACACGGAGACAAGGCACAGAGGTGCAAACTGGAGTGTGAATGAATGAACGTTTATTCCATCTGCTCATAACGACTGCATTTCTGGGAAAACACAGTGTCACAGTAACGGCTCTGGGTCTGACAGCCCAAGGCGTTAATACACCTGAAATAACCTCTTATTCAAGGGCAGTTCATTTCAGGCACAGTAATATACTGCTACAGCCTAACATCCATGCAACACATGTTGTGTTGAGTGATTTTGACTCTGTATGTTTGAAATGAAGACAGTTGTGTGATGATAGAACTCAGAGACTCTTTTGCCCTGCATCTGTTCTGCTTATGAGGCACAAACTCATTTTACACGGCGCTCAGTGCAACCTTCTGTGCCAGTTTCAGAAGTGCAGCTGGGTGACAGTGCACTGTGCAAGCTTTTATTACTAGAGCAGAAAATATTTTTAACATAAACATGAACTTTGCCTAAACACAACACATGCTTTCTGACGCCTTTGTTGCACACATTTCTCTTTGTCTGTACTTGTTTGAAGTAACTAGTTACTTTTATAATCTATTGTGGTAATATATTTGATGTAGCTCAATTGTAAATTGTAAATATTCTAGTTACAATCAAAGTACCTCAAGTTACATGCAGAATTAATCTATATACACATTTGCTTTGTTTTCTTGCTGTGTGTAGTTATGTATAACTGAGTGGAACGTTGGTCCAAGTTTAAAATCAAAGATCTTTCTGCTCCTGAAGCAGCAGGGGTGTTTGAAACATAGACACAATCAGTGTGATATCATAGTCCTGGACCAAAAAATACTCAAAGTACTGAAAAAACAGTCATATTTTCATGTATATTAATAGAAGCCTGGGAAAAAGGGTGATGAACCTAAAATGTTTTGACCAGTCAGATGGAGTTTTATTACACACAGTCATTCAGCGTTTGAAAAGGTTAGTCAGGTACCCCAGCTTTAAGGACCCACAGCCCTGTCTTTTGAGGTGAGGTTACTTTTCCTCCCACTACACTTTTCTGAATTAAGTTGCAAATGCGTCAGAGCTAATGGGGTGTAGCGTGCCAGATACATTTTTGGGCGTAAGGTCTGCCTAATGTGATTGGAAGGTGACACAGAGAGATCAATAAGAGGGACGAGAGACTGTCCAGGAAACACATCATTCTAATCACCTCAAAGGGAACTCACACCCAATGCACATATACATTCAAAGATAAACATGATGTATTCACAGGCTCTCTATGGAGGAGAATATATCCCCAGCCGGGTGAGGAGTGAGACCTCATGTGTCGGTCTTCTCGGTCCAGGGGGAACTCTTTAAGCCCTCAACTAAAACTGAACTCTGATTGGGCTGGTTTTAAACACAAACTGAAGCGATTTTTTTAGAAACAAATCAGTTGTGTGATCATTAATGAGTTGGAGGACACCTGCTTTTGTATGATGTGAATATTATAATATACAATATGTTTTTAATTGTGTTAAAAGCCCTCCTAGGAACGGACATTGCAAATTAGCCTTGGCTATAAATGTTGTAGTGTTTCACTTGTCCCTATCAAATAAATCAATAAAAATAAACTGGGTACAAACAGCCAACCTAAAAACCAACACTACAATCTTAATTTTCCATAAATTAAATGAAGGACCTGCCATTGAAAAGTCACCACGCAAAAGTATAATTTTCATGCGTCCATATAAAATGACTAAATGCTCTTGTTCTATTTAGGGTCTTTTCAGGGGGAGTACCAGAGGAAGCTGTACAAGGAGCTTTTAGCCAACTACAACCGTCTGGAGAGGCCCGTGGTGAACGACTCGGCCCCCATCCTGGTGGAGCTGGGGCTCACGCTGCTGCAGATCATAGATGTGGTACAATTAGAATTCTTTGTTTTTCTGTAATCGATCAGTAAACAGATGGACTTGTGTCGCCATGGGCAACAATACAGAATAAAACAGCACCCATGTTTCAATCAGGTCCCAGACAGAGAGCGAGGTCGGGGAGGGACTTACATGGGGACTATTATACAGGAATTTAGCGGTGGGGGAAACCAGAGCACCCTGAGGAAACCTACGCAGACACAGGGAGAACATGCAAAATGGGGCGGCTGCGGCTGTAAAGTGCGAAACTGTTGTTGTATCCTGAGGCAAGACACGTCACCCACATTACCCAGAATGAGTCTGGTGAGTGCGTGAATGGTTGGTGGTGGTCGGAGAGATCAATGGCTCATACTGGTTGCCTCGCTTCTGTCAGTGTGCCCCAGGGCAGCTGTGGCAACAATAGTAGTTTATCGCAACCGTTTATGGAGTGAAAGAATATTGACAAGTGAAGCGTCTTTGAGTGTCCTGAAAAACACTATACAAAACCGATGCACCATTATAATTATTATTATTATTAAACTCCACACAGAAAGGCTCTGGAGGTGGAATTGAACCCAGGACCTTCTTGCTAACCACTGCGCCACTGTGGTAGATGACAGTGAATATGATTTCCCAAATTATACTAAACAGCTTCATGAAAACAGGTCAGGCTCTCGGCAACATTGGAAATATCCCAGTGCGGCCCCAGGAGACAATAAGTGCCCACCGCTGGTATAGGGCATATGTTCTTGACTCCAACACATTATGTACACACACTCTTTCTAAAACCCACATCTGATCACACATTTCTAATCATTTATATTTATAGATGCAGTAGTTGTTTGCTGCTGTAATCATGAAATAAAATAACCCCACACAGTTTCCTTTATGCTCCCAGAACCCCAATTTGAGAAGCATCCTTCAAGATCTAATGGGTCGCTTAGTTTTCTTCATTAAGGATGTGTAATATTGAACTCCTTTCACATCCAGTGGATCCTCATTCATTTTTTTTGCTTTTTTTTGCAGGATGAAAAGAACCAGGTGCTAATGACCAACGCTTGGCTTCAATTAGTGAGTGACACAATAGAAAATAAATCTCAATAAGTGAATAGTTTAGTTTGAAATTTATTTTTCTGTATGTGCTGTGATTACAAAAACAAAGGGTTATGATTTCATCTTTACCACATCTAGCCAGATCTGTGATAGTGCCATACAATTAAAAAGTTTCACCTCTTTCAAATTTACAACCAATAACAAAACATGTTGAAGATTGTAGTAACAAGAACAGTTTGATACATTTTCAAAACATTGTTTAATTTAAGGTTCTCATGAATGATTACATGTATTGCCGTGTTATGAGATAAAATAAACCTTTATTTCTCCCTCAGTGGAGAAATTTCAATGTCATAGTAGTGCACAGTACAGCAGAATAAAGGGAGAAAAAAGAGCACAAATCCATTATTTAAGATAATAAATAACAAAATAAAGCAGTAGGACAGTAAACTCTGGAGCTATATTTGCAATTTCAGACAAAGATACAGTAAGTAACTTCAACAGCAGTCTTGAGGTTTCACATTTACAGATTGGTTGGTATTAAACTTTAGCAGCACAGAGTATAACCAGAATGACAATAGAGATAATAGCAGCAGGTAAAGTGACTAATGAATCATCAGAACAGAGGCTCAGCAGTTATCAGTCAATCAATCTTTATTTATAAAGCGCTTTTCATACAATAAAATGCAACAAAGTGCTTTACAGCTTAGTCAAAATCAATTCAACATGCCCAATATACCCCACCGCCCCACAGACCCACCCATAAGCCACCCTGATTATTAGATATACATCCGGATGCATATACCCGTACACACACACACCCACACACCCACACACACACACACACACACACACACACACACACACACACACACACACACACACACACACACACACACACACACACACACACACACACACACACACACACACACACACACACACACACACACACACACACACACACACACACACACACACAGGTAAAACTATGAAAAGATATATGGCTGGGTGCAGATGTATCCAGCTGAAGAAGCGCCATCCAAAGAGCCATCTGCACCAGGAGCAGAGAGCCGTTATATTTATGCTAGTTTTCCCCTATTGTGGGATGAATAAAAGATTTTTGAAACTCATTTGGCTTTGACTGATAGTGTACTTTTTATGTATTAAAAAGTGGTTGTCCTGTTGGTTTGAGAAAGCCGTTTTACTCCACGTATGTAAAAGTGTCGGTGAAAAGCCAAATTAAGTCTTGTCTTTCTTTTCCTCAGTACTGGACAGATGCTTACTTGAGCTGGAACACAGAGCACTACCCTGGGGTCCAAAACCTGCGCTTTCCGTCTGATCAAATATGGACTCCTGACATCCTGCTCTACAACAGGTCAGAATGATTTGGATCCGCAATCAGGAAAATGACAGTCGTGAATGCACTTTTTAGAGATGACGTCCGCATATTCAGTTTTATTTAGGATTTGTAATAAAATACTAATCCCTTCCTATTAGTTGGGTTGTTAATCTCACTAAAAATAGAAAATATTGCTATCAGTAAATCGTCTGTGAGACAAACCATTGACGTAGACCAAACAGGTACAGTTATGCAATTGTAAATCAGTCCTGTTTTATGTTTTGTAAGCCCAATGTTTTATTAAGTAAGCCTCTTACACGATGGAGATGCCAACTCAAATATGTGTGTACTTGCTTCTCCAGGTAGTTGAAATGTAGGACACTTGCTTCTCTCCAAAATTCAAACCTGTTCTAAGTTTCTACTTGGAAGAAAGTCAAGTAAATAACGTTTGAAAGCCAGTTCCCTCACATTGTCCCAGGACATGCATATATTCAGATGAACTGGCTGAGTGGGTAGTGTTCATGTCTCACAGCAGGAAGGTTGTGGGTTCAAGCGCATTTCATAGACTATGGTTGCACTTCACACTTTACAAAAAGAAGGTTGTTGGTTTGAGTCCCATGTTGGCCTGGCCCTTTCTGTGTACACTGCAAAAAGTTATGAAAAATGGGTCAAAAAAGGCTCAAATTTGGCTCAAAGTATCTTAATTTGAGCACATTTTCACTGTCTTAAAACAAGGTTCGCCAATGGGACAAGTAGAATAATCTTGTTTAAAAAAGATACAAGAAATGTCTCCCTTGGAATGAGAAAAAAATACATCAGTTCTTGAATTAAGACTAAATGTACTCAAATTAAGATCAAAACCACTCAATTTAAGCATTTATTACCTCATTGATTAATAATGTTTTTGCAGTGTAGACGTTGCATGTTTTGTGGTGGGTTTCCTTGGATGAGGAATGCAGAGGACACATTTCTCTACTGGAATCAAATGTATCCTAAAATTTTATTAGTGTATCCATATACCAGTGATTACACTGAGTAACAAAAAATATTTTTTGAAAATAGTCCAGGGTTTTCCAGCTGAATTAGACTAATTTTGATGCTCTGAGTCCGAAAATGAACTTGGTTTTGCTCAATCAGGTCAGGATTTTTTGCTACAGAAATATTTTTTTCAATCGATTTTGCGTAAAAAAACCAATTTCTGCGGATCATCAGCTGAGAAACTCTTGACGTTTTTTTCGTTTTCCTCAAGAAATAAAAGTCAACGTATCCAAAGTCATTCAGTTTTTATTTACTCCATCAAATTTGATAAGCAGAATTCATAATAACGTAGACGTACATAATCCGTAACACTATGGCTGTATCTCAAAAAGTTGACCTGATAGAGCAAAATGCATGTGATATTTGGACACAGAACATCAAAATCAGTTGAGAAACCCCTGACCATTTTTTGGCTGTCAACTTGTGTTATATTTTAAGAGAATTTAAGGTTAAGGTATACTTGATTGTCCCTTAGGGAAATGTGTTCTCTTCATTTGACCATCCTGTAATGCCGCAAGGGTCTCTGTCAGGAGCAGTGAGAAGTGACACACAATTGGGCGGGGCAGACAATGAACACAGAGGGGAATGGGACAGGAAGTACAACCAAAACCATAGAACTGAAGTCACAAAATAACTAATAATCCACACCATAACAGAGTTTGCATTTAATATTTGTATGTTGGTTACATTTCTAAACAGATAAATAGAAGATAATAAGGGAAAATGTAATTAGCAAAATGAGCCATTTAGGATATCTTTGAAAAACCTCCAGGTGTTTTAACAAATAGATGTCCTTAGAAGACCATCCCTTTTTAGCCACAGAAAACTATTAGCCTCAGATATAATAGACCAGACACGCCGTAAATGTGAGATGATGACACAGGTTTGGGGGAATTAACCTGAATTTGAAAAGCCTTTACATTTGCCTGGATTACGTCCTAATCTCTGTGGTTTCTGTCGCTCCTGCCCCTCGTGCCCCGTTCATCACCTCCTGTTTGTGACGCTGCTTGTCACTATTTCATAACTCACTGTCTTGTGCTGCTCCGCTGAATCCAATCAGCTCAATATCTCCATATTATTCTCACATTTCACCGTATACCTGCCATGAATCCATGAGTGCAGACGTTTGTCCAGTAATTTACAGTTCAGTCTTCTTTATTATTGTATTTTATAGAAGATGTTTTTTCATGTTTATAATATCAGTCCACATGTCTCTAGTTTCAGATCAAAACTGCTGTTACTTCAAAATGAATACAATTATTATGGAAATCAATAAACTATCCTTTAAAGTTGCCTGCAGTTATAAAAGATCGCATTAACATATCCATTTTAAACTTATTTTGAAGAGTCAAAGGTTGTCCCGTGCTTTCTCCGGAGTTCATACAACAGCAGCACAGTTGGGAACTTCCTGTCCTCAGCAAAAGTCACTGTAACGATCAATACCTGAAGGACGTCCAACATTAGACAACAACAACATGAATCTTATTCCTGCTGTGAGGCAATTTAAATGAGAAAAATGTGGAAATTAAAGAGAATATCTAAATAGTGTTTGCTCTTATCCACATACGAGCAAGGTTAGAAGATGAATAGCTCAGTCGGACACATTCCTCAAGGTGAAGTCAATTAATTGCATTTGGATGGATTAGCGACACGATGGCTGAACGGTTAGCACTCTCGCTTCTCAGCAAGAAGGTCCTGTTTTCAAATTCCAGATGGAACCGGGCTTTTCTGCGTAGGTTTTCTCCGGGTGCTCCAGTTTCCCCATCAACTAAAATCATGTACAATAGATGTTTACACTCAGGGGCCAGGATTCACATTCTGAAATCTCAGTGGGACTATCCTGGTTAAATATAAAAGACATATAGTGGCTCTGCAAAGTAAAATAAACTGAAAAACTGAAAAGTGGGGCTTGCAAAGGTTTACAAAGATTTCCCAACCTTCAAACATCTGACAAAGCACTTTTCAATCTAATATACAGAATTGGAAATAGAATGACACCACCGCAAACTTACCAAGACACGGCCGTCCACATAAACTGGGAAGTCGAACATGGAAAGTGCGGACCAGAATTGTGACCATGTTTGTGCCTCAGGATGACTCTGGAGAAGGCACCAACTTCTGCAGCTGAGCAGAGGGAGAAATATTAGTCATACATTATTCAAATCTGGCTTTATCTGCAAAAGGAAAGGCATTGTTGAAAGGAGGAAAATCCTGTTTGCAGTCTGCCGTCATTTGGGGACACACCTAACATGTGGATGGTGCTCTGATACATGTTGGTCCTATAAAGCCCCGCTCACCAGACGCGCATTCTCTAGTTTTCAGACACAGGGGTCTTGACACCAGAACGTCCTGACCAGCGCCGGAAGTGCCGGAAGTAGCCGGCGGGCTCTGATGCTACCAGAGTTATGCTAGGGGCTTCTCGTGTAAAGATCTTCTCCAATAATGCAGCTTGGCAGGGTGTCTGTGTTCAGAGACCTTCCAAGGACTTTATATAACAGTGGTATGTGTTCACGGAGGTGCGCAATAAGTTTATTTTATTATTAAACGGTACTTCCGCATTGGTGAACACACTCAAAGAAGTTGCATAAAGTCACGGGAGCATGACAACGCATATATTCACAAGCACACATGTCCCCCATTGTCAACCCTGGTTTAGTTCTGGTTTAGTCCTGATGTAGCTCCTGTTTTGGCTGTTCACAGTATGTTCAGTCTGCTCGCTCAGACCACCAATGTCCCCGTGACCACTTTGCGGCTCTCTGATTGGTCGCTGCACGAACGTCCCGAGGAAAGGTTGAACAAAGTTTATCTCCTGTGGGCGTCCATTTTCCGCTCCTGCTCCTCCCCTTTGACTTTCCCGCGCAGTCCGTGCGTCTCTACTGCGCGGTCCGTGCGTGTGTGCCGAGAGGTCCATGCATTTTGACGCTTGAACGCGCGTCACCATTGACTTTGCATTGAAAGCAGACCCAACGCATGATCCTGTCTGAACGCGGCTTTAGACCAAAATTTAACTTTTTGACGCAAATGTAAAACCATATGTTCGGTAACGTACGGTGCCAAATTATCTCCGTCTATCTCCCTCAGTGCACCGTCCACAGTGTCAAATATGGTGAGAGCAGCATCTTGTGTGTATTACTTTGTTTTGAGCTTAAGTAAACGATCAGAACTGTATCTTGTATTCAGCAAGGACAGGCAATATGGTCAAGATTACCTTCCAGCAGGTACAGCAGCAGCTTCAAAAACAAATTCATGTGTAAGAATGACCCAGACCAAACATAAATCCAATTGTGGAAAACTTCTGTTGTGATTTGATTGTTTGAGTTGCGGGCAAAAACATTTGGTCTCTTGATGCACAAAGCTTGTAAAGAAATACCCCAAAAGATATATACTTCAAACCCAAGTTTTATTTTTTTTTATTATTTTGAAAAAAAGAAGATAACAAATTTAAACTTTTGTGTGGTTGTAGCAAAGTTAGGCAAAGTGTATTTGTATAGCACAGTTCAAGCACAAGGCATCTCAAAGTGATCAACAAAAAAGAAGTAAAAAACCAGCACTAATCAAACAAATTATAAATAATTACAGTATTAGTACTTTTACCACGGTATGTAGTTGAATTAGTCCTCCCCTAATGTCATATAGTGTACATCTGCAGATGCTGGGTGAGAAAATATCCCGGGTGTTTCTTTCTAGGAAAGAACGTTGTTCTGGCTGTTCCTATGAGCGTTCCCCCCCTCCCCCATCACCTTTGTGTTTTCACGTTCTAAGCATTAAACTGTACCTCACATGAATAAGACATAGTGCAGGTTTGTTGCAGCTGTACACATTAGACCACAGTCGTTTGTGCTACAGCCAAAATGATGCAGGGGACAAAACATGCTGTAATTTAAGTTGTATGGGGACCATGTATTTCATAATGGAGACCTGGGCAAACTGCGGGCTGGGGGCCACATGTGGTCCAATTTACATTTCGATGTGGCCCCTGAATCCTCTACGGCCGTTAACCTCAAAGTG